CCGTCGTGCACTCGCTCCTTAGCATAGGTGCGCGTGCCGGCGTCGCACAGCGCTTTGCGAGACCGTCGTCTGGGGGCGAAGAGAACGGGTGTACGTAGTGATATAATCCAATAACCAATTATTATCGTCAAATGTATCGGAGCATGGTCGGCGCAGCTGGAACTGATATACAGCGTGCATAACAGCTGCGAACAGTGTTGTGCACCAGTGAAAATATTGTGACCTACAATGAGTATCGGTGTTGAGAACACTGTCCCTGCACCGTCGGAAACACCTTGAAGAAATGTTGCGAAACTGTGCTCCACATCGGGAATGAGCGTGCAAAACACCTGTGAGAGGCGTAAAAATGTCTACTTGAGGTGTTTTGCACATTTATTCTCGACAGCGCACAAAAATGTCAAGAACACCTTTTTCAGTTGTTCTCTCCCTCCTGTTCCGAACACCTCTAACAAATGTAGATCCTTCCCACAGTGCGAAGCCTTCACTGGCGTAAACCAGTTCTTCAAGGTTGTCTGTAAACGCGATGGTCAGCAGTTGTTTTCACATTCAAGCGTTTTCAACACTATACCACCTACGGTATTACCTTAAACATATCGTTCCTGGAGTCAAACACAGTGTTGTCGACGTCGTGGTCGCGTCGAACGCGGCGGTAGCGGTAGCGCGGGCGCTAGAGCGTTTGACACGTACCACGTGGCCCGCGACGCGAGTTCTGCGCGACCAGGCGCGACTCCTCCGACCACGACGCCCGCCAGCGAGGTGAGCTCTTGTTCTTTTCGCACTGTTCCAGTGCCTTGTGGTCGCTGTTGGCAGCCCTCGTACGATGTATGTGAATCCGCGTCACGGCATGCGTCGAGTGCTTGACGATTCGAGAGGCAGTTAGTGTCCAAAGCACAGGCCGAGAGGAGCGTCCTGAGGCCATAGGCTATAGATACAGTGCATAGTCTCGGAAGACTAGTGGGTATCATTAGCTATGCGAATAACTGTAAGGTACTCTTCAGCACTCGACGTGTGATGCACGCCGTACAACAGAGTCAAGAAATACAGCGGCTCTGTCCTTGCTGAATGGTTAAAGGTGTGATAACACGAAACTCTACGACATGGACGTGAAGGGATGAAGCTTTGAAGGTCTGTAGTCCGAATAATGAACCGGTGGATGTAGACGGTAGGCATAAATCGTCTTTTGGCACGGCGGCGCGACCAACCTGAGGATTAAAAGAGAGCCGCGTCGCTAGAGGGAGCCCGAACTGGGGACGAATGTGAGCACCTACCGAACCCAAAGTCAGCATGTCAATTTACCAAACACAAGCTAAGATACGCACCACCTCCGCCGCAGGCCCGAACCGCGCGCGGAACAAATCAACGTTGCCCGTGAGCACGATCGCGTTCGCGTTCGCCACATACAGCAGGTGCGCGCCCTGTGCGAGCGTGCCGTCCGTGTTGATCCAGTTCATCGTGAGCGAGCTGTCGGCGCCGAGCGTCCAGAGCGCGGATTCGATGTCGCGCTCTGTGCCGGTTGCGGCGGTGAACCCGTTCGGAGCGTCCTGCGCGGGCCCAGGGGAGACTGTAAGGAGAATGGGGGTGAGAAGATGAGTAAAAGAGAGAATGGGAAGGGAAGAGCGTACCCTCGGAGGTGCCGCCGACGTAGACGTAGTTCGAGTTAGCGTCGCTGATGTTGTCATCTATGCTCCCGAAGCCGATGATACCGCCGAAGAACGTAAAGTTGCCCAACCCGTTCTGCCCCCGCACACACGCATCAGCGCAAACACACCGTACGACGCTCGAGAAGAAACATACAGTAGTCTGAACCTCGAACGGCCCTCCGTCGGTGTTACACTGGAGCAGCACAACATTAAGAGCGCTGCCGCCCTCGACGCCCCCGATCCCATACTCCCCAAACGCGTTCGCCATGCTCCCCACCTGCCCAAACGTCGCGCCCGCACCCGTGTCCACGTCCGTCACAGTCAGCGTCCCCGTCGGGTTGCTGCACGGCTTCGGCGACGTCCGCGGGGCGTGCGCGCCACGGGAGCGCTGGCGGCGCCGCGGGGCGAGCGGGGGGAGGCCGTTCGCGAGGCGCTGCGCGTTCGTGAGCGCGCGGGCGCGGGGCGCGATCTGGTCGGCTTGCACGAGCGTGCGTGTGGGTAGGTCGGTGGGGTTGATGTGCTCGTAGGCGGCCGGGGCAGGTGCGCGACGCGGGCGCTCGGGACGGGCGCGCGTGGGGCGGAGCGGGTCTGAGTCTGATGAGTCGGAGGGGTCGGAGGGGTTGACGTCGTCGCGAGGGCGGACTGGGGGGTAGGATCGAAGCCCGAGTGAGGGGAGCACCGGGAGCGAGGGGATGGGGATGGGGAGCTCAGGAAGCGAGTTCACTGGGGGATCCTGGATGGCGAGGACGCTGGGCGCGCCGAGGAGGGCGAGGAAGAGCCCGCTGGCGAGCGTGGGGAAGAGCATGGCGGTATGCGCGGTATTTGATGGAGTTGGTAACGAGTGTGGTGCTGGTGAGCGTGTGGATGCAGCTGCAGAGGCCGCGCAACGGGACGGGAGGCGAGACGGGAAGGGTCCTGGCAGAGGGGTGCGAGGGTGGGGGTGGTTCGACTCGCGCAGCGCGTCCTTGATATATCACCCGGACCCGATGCGGAGGCGGAAGGTAGCCCGTTCTGACGTCCCTGCCTGCCTCGGAGGCTGTAGAACCGAGCAGGAGATGGGTTCCGATGGGACGAGGCTATTGGAGTGCTGGATGTGGCAGGCTATCTGCCAGCGAAGGTGATGAGCGCTGCGCCGAAGGACAAGCTGGGTTTGATGGAGGAAGGGGTGCCTTGGGCTATAACCTCCTGTTCCGTGTCAGAGGTGTATCGGCCCTGTGTGTATGCCGCTGCCCACCTATGTTGAACCCGCCTTTTCGGCCTGAGCCACGTATGAGCGCAAGGTTGCGATGCATAGTTGGTGAGAGAGCAGATATGGCCACCACGCCGCCGGAAGCGTGCAACCCAAGCCATCCTCTTTCCCCTTTCCCTGAGAAAATACACGCGTTCGGCTTCCAAGCGAGTAACCGCGCAAAGCCACCGGGCGGCACTAGGACGCCCGCTCGAAGGAGCACTCGCCCTTCTTCGTTGCGTCCAGCGCCGAGCGCCCTCCGATCCGCTCGAAAATTGTTGCGTACCATTTACGTTCTGCCGGGGCCTGGCGTTGCTCGAGAATGGCTGTCGGGGTGCTGTCTATGGTAGCGATGTCGGGGGAACTCCTGCCAACAGCTGCGTCGGCAAAGTTGAAGACCGCGGCTCGGAGGCCCCACCAAGATCTGTAGACCGGCTGCTGGGTGATTGAGCACTTTTCAGAATACTAATCCTAGTTGAGCTTTCTGGATATCATACTATCCATGTTAATATGGACATCTCGTTCCTGTCAGGACCTAGAAGCGAGTGCCACGCCGGCATGTGAGCGCACGACTTATTTCGAACGATGTTATATCATGAAGACCTGCCTTCTACGTTAGCTATATCCCCGTCTAGAAGAGCGAATACTCACTGGCTAACATACGAGATGATCACTCCTTGAAAGTTGGTAGTAATGGTACGAGTCAAGAGGCGCATGGCCGCGCTGACGCTGCGGCGGCGTCATGGAGTAAGCGCTCGCAAGATCGGATCGGTACGAGACGCGACTCCGCGTAGCCCGACCTCGCAACATACCCCGCGACGGTATACCTTCAACTTGTCGCCATACTCCTCGGCCAAATGCGAGAAATAACCCCATATTCGCGCGCTCAACAAGTGTATTGCGCACCACGTTACACCCTACAACAGTTCCTCGTCTTTCAACGTCGTTCTCAAATATCACCCTTCGCGAGGGGTGTCCAGTACTGTAAATGTAGGTTATATGCTATGTATCAGTAGTTCTATAACTCTACGCGTGTCTTCTGTATAACCTATAGATTTAAAACCGTGAGCTACCTAGTGATCCGAAATATAAATGTCGTTTTCGGGTATTTCTAGGGCTCGGCGTGGATCGACCAGGTGGGGTCTTCACGGGGCAGCGGCGGCGTCGACGAACGTGAACGTCTGTAAAGCGCGTCAGAGGAGTCCATAGAAATAGCTCGTGGGGTCTACTCACCACTGCGGTCGCAGGGCCGAAGGTGGCCACGAACGCGGAGAGGTCGCCGGTGTACGTGAACGCAGCCGAGGACGCGACGTAAACGAGCGTGCCCGCGGCGGCGGAGCCGTCCGTGTTCACCCAGTTGAACGCGAGCGCGTCGGCGCCGCTGAGCGTCCAGACGGCGGACTCGATGTCCTTGGGGGTGCCCGATGCGGCGCTGAATGCGTTCGGCGCGCTCTGAGCGGGGCCGTGCGCGACTACAAGGAAGGAAATTTGGTTAGTGGGCGTGTAGGGTGACGGTTGCTGGGAGCGTACCCTGGGAAGTGCCCGCGATGTAGACGTAGTTGTAGGAGCCGGCGCTGAGGTTGTCGTCGGTGTTCGCGAAGCCGACGACACCACCGAGGTACGGGTAGGCGGAGACGCCGTTCTAAGGGACCGCCACCTCAGCATATATTTCACAACATGATAGAAAAATGGGCGTACAAGGGTCTCGATGTCGAAGGGCGAGTCGTTCGAGTCGCAGCGGCGGAGCACGACGGAGAGCGCGGCGGCCGCGTCGGTTGCCAAGCTGTACTCGCCGAACGCGTTCGCGCTGGCCGAAACATATCCAAGGACGGCGCCGTTGGTATCCGCGACGCGGATAGTTCCAGTCGCCTGGCTCAGCGCGCAGGGCGTGGCGGACTGGCGCGGAGCCAGCGCACGGCGGCGCGTGTTGAACGCAGGGCTACGTGGGGGGAGCCCACGCGCGAGGCGTTGGCCGTTGGTCAGCCCGCGCGCGTCGACGGGGTTGTGCGCGAGGGCGCGGGCGGCGACGCCGGTCGGGTTGAAGACCGAGGCGGCGTCCTCGACCGGGGCGAAGCGGCGGACGCGCGTCGGGGCGACGGGGACGGGGCTCGGGGTGCCCGCAGCGAGGGCGGCCGGGGCGGCGAGGAGGGCGACGAGGAGGAGGCGGGGGAGGGAGAACATGGCGGGATAGGCTGTGTGTGTTAAAGAACGTGGGGCTTGCTAGCTTGTGTGTGTGGCCGGTGGGAGGCGGGGGACCGAGGAGAGGACGGTGGTGGTCGAGTTCCAAGGGATGGCGGACGGGTGCGCGGCGGGGCGCGCAGATATAGGTTGGAGGCAGCGGGCCCGAACGGACGGTGTAAAAATGAAGTGGTGTTGATTGAGGCGGACAGCTGCGGAGACGATCCAATCATCGTCCGCGTACCCCAGATCCCAATTAGTGGCTGTCCGATCCCAGCTCCGCGGCGTCCTCCCCAGCCTCCCCCTTCTTCCAACCTTTCCTCCCTCTTGTCTGTCTGTCATGTAGTCCTTGCATACCTCTTACGAGCTACAGCGCGTCCTCTGGACATGGTGCTCTGGTGTGTGCGGTACGCAGGCTACACCCGACTAGCAGGACCTAGAAACGAGGGTTGCGACTGCGGGATGTCACCACTGTTTGGCGCTTAACCGTCAGTTTACCCTTGGCTATCGTCTTCCCGTCTCGCAATCGCGAAAGACCTAGGTCTAGACCAGCCGCCAAAGAGGGTAAGAACGCGCCTCTAACTGCTCACTTACTCGACGCACCGGGCTATCGAGTGTCCGTCGCTTTCACGTAAGTTGGTCGCGAGCGAGCTCAGGCTGCCAGCGGGCTGACGGTACCGGTCAGCCCGCAATGACAGAGATTCAGAGTAAGACCTCCTGCTCTGCATGTTGCGTCTCAGTTAGCCATAATTCACGGAAACTTGAACAAGAAAATGCTCACCATCTATACTACTTACTGCCAAACAGCGCTAGCGTGGACGAACTCCAAGTCGCGATCGACACGACTGCTGTGTTGGCGCCAACACTGCCAAGTTCTGGGGCCGTACGCATCTGCGTCACCCTGCCTTTCGCCGCTTAACTCACACGAAGTCTTACCCGCTCAAACGCCTCGGCGGACGCCCCACGCTCACGGCTCGATTCATCCGGTGTATCACAAACCACGCCCCAACTGGATGGTATCGCGACCGCTTCCGCCCTAGAGCAAACGAGCCCACCATGTGCACCCTCCACGACGGCCCGCCGGCATATCACACGCGCGAACACGTCCTCTTCCACTGCAACCACTACGTTCGGAAATACAGGCACTCCAGCATCGAAGACCTTCTCGGGTCCCTGGACCCGTTCTACGACATCCAGTGCTTCCTTACCGACAACCCGACCGCCTTCTCGTTCGACGACGCCCCAGACGGCTGAGCGCCACATCGCGCCCGCCGCCCCATCGTGCCACCCTCCTCTTCCCCCGTTTCTTCCTCCTCCGCGACTATGCCCATGCCCATGCCCCAACCCCATATGCCCCCAAGTCACACACATTATAATCACCCTCACGAGCTAAAATTTCCACTACGATATGAGCGGCAGCGCCGCAGTAGACTCGAGATATGTTCGCGGGGACCATCAGAAAACCCCGTTTTAATCGTAGCGTAGACGGCTGTATAAGCACTACATGTAAAATGATAACTTGGATACCAAAAAAAAAAAAAAAAGACACGACTGCTGTGCCAGCGCGGCGCCGGGCGTCTGCACCTTTGATTGGCGACGCTACGTACCTTCTACGTTTTTACCACGCAACCGCATCTCACTCCAGCTCTTTTGCAGACAACGTCCATCAAGACGCGTGTGTTGGCTCTCGACATATCTTGATATACCATAAAACAACGCATACATGGACACTAATCCTCGATACAGACATGATCCTGATACTTTTCTAACCGCCATTGCGCCGCGCCTCTGCCGGCATACCCGACCCTACAACAGCTGCCCTACAATCGGCAGACAGCCCAGCGACAAGATCCCCACTATGATATAACCCGTCAGCACACGCCCACACGCCCGAATGCACAAACCACTCACACAGAGCCGGCTCCCCGGCACAACACACCGGCGCATCGTGCGCCGCACTGCAAAACCCCACATCTGTCAGTCTCCTCCCCCTTCACGCGATGACAACCCATAGACACTCACCAGCTCGCGCTAGAACCCGCGTCCGTGCACGCGATGCCGACGAGCGACGACACGTCCCCGACGGCCGCGCCCAGCGCGCCGAGCAGCGCGGCGCCCGCGGTGCTGTTCGCGGGCATGAGCGCGGAGCAGCACTGCGGCGTGCTCTCTGCGGCTGCGCAGGGGCCCGCGGAACCGTTCCCGACGCTGGGGGAGGGCGTCGGGGTGGCGACGGCAAGGATTGCGAGGAAGAGTGCCGTGAGGGCGGAGAGGTGCGTAGTGGAGAGCATGGTGCGGTTGCGAGGATGGGCAATCTCTGGATATGCGGTGGTGGTGCTGTATGGACGGTGGAGTGCCACTGGGTCGTCGGTCCCGGTACTTTTGAGCGGTGGACGAAAGGTTCGGGGGTGCGTTCCAGAGTGCTCGTCCTCGCGCACTGATGTCACAGATTTTCCAGCTTCATGTGCCTGGGAGGACGTGCACGAACGGGAGGTGCGGCAGCAACAGCTCTCTCCCGCGCGGGAATGAACGCGCGCATCCAGGTTTCGCAGCCTCAACCGTGTCCGAGGACCAAGGCTCCGGGGCGGTGGACGCGGAAGACGAAGTCATACATGTCAGATAGCCTCCGGCGCCCCGTCCGAGGCCCTGCAGGTGCTGTCGCAGGGGGTGGATACTTCGAGGGTTCGCGGGTTCGTGGGTTCGCAGATTCGACCTCGCTCTAAAGCCTCCCCCGGTGGTCGGCAATCCGCTCCTTACCTCGGTGCCAGTGTGCCCGGGCAGGTGGGACCAGTACGAGCCGCAGCGGTCCGCGCTGGCACAGAGTGGGTGAGGCGAGGGGTATATCCCGTTTAGCTCAGCTGGTAGAGCGCGTCACTAGTACGATCACATCGTGTAATGACGAGGTCAGTCGTTCAAGTCGGCTAATGGGAAGTCAACAAATAGATGAGAGCGTTTTACTCCAGGAGACGAGTTTTTTTACTACGCACAAAGCGCATGTGTGTACGTTGCTATGAGCTATATTTCGACCACGGCTTCAGGCCCAGTACTTCAGCTCCTGTCGTCGGGCCTGTATACCTATCATCACGACTTGGAATATCGCTGCGCCGCTCCGACACCACGAGTCGGGCTTTAGCCCCTGCATTGGCGATCCCCCGCGGCATTCTCTGGAGGAAACCGGACTCGAGCGCATGTCGCCGACATGAGAACATGCATATCGTGCATGCATTATTCCCATGGACACACCGCCTGCGCATTCACGCACTGATGTGTTCTTGCACTCTTCCGCTGTCGAAGGCCTGCGTGCGGCGGTAGAGCGTCTCGGGGTCATTGGCGGCTCAAAATACGTCCGGCGCGAGGTGACTGAAGGCCTGCGCGGCCTTCAATGACGTACCCCATTCATGAAGGAGGCTCAGATGATCGTCCGAGATGAAGGAGATGGGCGGATGCCTGCTGCTCACACAATTATCCGCGTGAGTCGTACTTCGCACTGCGCTCGGAAGGTGGCTGCAGAGGCGGGATGCGTCTATAGGGCCCGCACCGCGGGGACCGCGCAGTCATTGAACTTCGGGTTTCAGGACATGTTGATTGTGGAGCGGGAACAGGGACGGCGGGCTTCGCGCAATGTGGATGTCGTCAAGGCCGAGTAGAGGTCGCGCGCGCGCTGGCGTCACCGACGTGCACAGAGTCCGAGACTGTAGAGGGTGAAGGAAACGGTGAGCTCACAGCAGCGCGCGAGGTATAAGAAGGGCGCGCACCCGCCCGCCCCATCCTCAGCATCAGCCGATCGCCCCAAGCAGCCTTACCAGCTTCAGCCTCATCTCTCTCGAAACCAACATGTTCGCCAAGCTCACCTCTGCCTTCGCCGCGTTCGCAATCCTTGCCGTCGCCACCGCGACTCCGCAGGCCGCGGGCTCGTGCTCGACCGGCACGCTCCAGTGCTGCAACTCTGTCGAGGCCGCGGGCAGCGCGGCTGTCGCGCCGATCCTCGCGGCGCTCGGCGTCGTCGTTCAGGACCTGAACATCCCCGTCGGCCTGTCCTGCTCGGGCGTCAACGGCGTCGGCGTCGGCGGCTCGGACAGTTGGTAAGTCGCCTTGAATGCTTTGTGAGGAAGATTGAGCAGGGCTGACGAACGGTCATAGCTCCACCAACGCTGTGTGCTGCGACGAGAACAACTTCGGTAAGTCACATAGAAGGGATTTTAGGTGATCGAATACTCGTTTCATCAACGCTTGGCTGTAGGCGGTCTCCTCGCCATCGGGTGCCTTCCTGCCAGCCTCTAAGCGCGTTCGTGACGAACGTCGCTCCAGAATAACACATCGATTCGCTCTTGCCGTCGGAGGAGGAAGTGGGGGTGTAGGCGAAGGGGGAGGGTGGAGTGTCGCGCCGAGTAGAACAGACCGTGCCTGAATGATTGTGAATGTGTATCGTCGTATGCCAACGTGTGAACTCGTACCCAATGATCGGCAGTGAGGAGTGAGAAGAGCCGCGAGCGCTGGGTGAGGCTTCAACAATATTACACCAAAGGACTTGGGCGCCTCGAGAGGTTCTAACTTCTTGCAACCCGAATCCGCGGACTGCTAAGCACAACATTGCAGGGGTGGTAGTTTGGAAGCCCACCCTACAGTAGGGTGCCGTATCCAGTAGCGTCATTTTGTATTCGGTACCCGATGGACAAATGCACGCACCGAGTGAATGCGCAAAATGAACCTCACATTCCTCCAAGCACCGACTTGCGGGTTATACCGTGAACGTGTTAGAGTCCGAAGGGCGGGTAATACCATTGAAGGGCAATCGTCCTGGCCGCGCTGATCGAAGACGCCTTGCCACGGGCATGCTTCGCGGGGAATGGCACCGAAACGCGACGGTTTGGATCACCTCTTCAGTCGTGCACGTCGCCGCTTTGCTTCTTAAGGAGAAAGTTAGCGGTCGCGACGTCGTGGCGCAAGTACGACATGATATGTCCGACGCACCGCTGCGTAATCGAAGTCGGATGGTTCCTGACAATGGAGACAGTTTACCTGCATGTGCACATTCACAATGCGCATGGATCGCATGACTTCACGGCCTGGACGCTCCGTCACCGCGGACTCCCGCCACGGACGCGAGGGGCCGTCGAACCTGCGGCCGAAAATATCTCGGATGAGCGGTGATTGAGGGCGTGCACGAGGCGGGGCTGTCATGACGTACCAATTCATCTTGGAGGCTCCGTTCGCCCGAGACGAGAGATGCGCACGGGGAACTCGCTAACGCTGCCCATTGTGGTACTGCACGGGAGAAGCCGCACAGGAGAAGGGCGACCGTGCGTAACGTTGCGGACCGCCGTCGCCTCACCCCATAGATATTGTTTGGAGCACTGAGGAGCGAGTTCAGGAACAGCGTCGCAAGTGGCTACATGTCATCAGCGCTATGTTCGGAGAGAAGTCGAGCACTGGCGTCACCAAAGCCGCCCCACATCCTGCAAAGTACGAAGAAACATATGCGAGCAGCCGGCGGGCCATGTATAAGAACGCTCACGCTCACCGTCTCCATCCTCACCAACCGCCGCCTAGAAACAGCTCGATTAGCCTTCCAATCCCTCGCAACTGAAATCACCATGTTCGCCAAGCTCACCTCTACCGTCGTCTCATTCGCAATCCTTGCCGTCGCCACCGCGGCCCCGAACAACACGCCCACGGCCCCCGCTGCCCCCGCGCCCTCCGCTCCCGCCGGCGGCGCTGGCGCTGGCTCGTGCAGCACCGGCGCACTCCAGTGCTGCCAGTCCGTCGAGTCGGGCAGCAGCGCAGCTGTAGCGCCCATCCTCGCCGCGCTCGGCGTCGTCCTCCAAGACGTGAACATCCCGGTCGGCCTGTCTTGCTCCGACATCACGGGTGTCGGCGTCGGCGGCGGCAACAGCTGGTGAGCTTCTGCTCCACATCTGCGAGTTGATATGAGCTAATCATCGATTTGTAGCTCTGCCAACACCGTCTGCTGCGACGACAACAGCTTCGGTAAGAGAACGACAAGGAATACGCGCACATCTGGCATCGGATTTGCTCACATCCGGGGTCTTAGGTGGACTGCTCTCCGTCGGCTGCCTACCGGCCTCCCTCTGAGCAAGCGAGCGCGGCGAGGACGGCCGATGAATTCGAACGCGCGTCCTCGAGAACGCGGCAGGAGCAGGCATGGATGTAGGAAGGCGGAGATAGTGCCGAGCCGAGTAGTACAGTTATCCAGCGCCCTTGATTGCTTGTGAATGTGTACGACAATATGCGATTGTGTGACTCTTGATGCTGCGATATTGATGTGGAGCGAGCAAAGCACCCGCAGGAGCGCCGCTGAGCCCGATGGAGAAGTCGCGAGGCCGACGAGCGCTGATGTGCCATTGGATGTGGAGATAGATGGGCAGCGGGAGCGGTACTGCACCCTTACGCGTTATGAGCGGCTGCTGTACGAGCGTCAGAATGGGACCGACGAAAGAAGGGCGGCTTGAGAGCTGTTGTATATGTTGAAACACGATCGCAGTCAAACGAACGTCAGAAGGGCACATGTCATGTATGCATTTGCAGCGTACCATGTATTGTTGTGGTCGGTAAGGAGACTTACAGTGAGGAGTCGGTACCCACGATTGGGCTGCCGCACGGTGCATAACGGGCTCAACCACGCCTGGCAGCGTGTCCATTTCATGTGCGCTGGAAAGCGCAGCTTGAAACGTGATAAACAAGCGAAATACCTGCGCGAGCGCTGGAAGATTGGCTGTGGTCCACACTAGAAGGTCAGTCGACGAATGCACCTTGAGGACGTGCACGCGGGAAGTCAGCACATGCGCAGATGATATTCCCATGACACCGAGCACCGTGGCCTGCACGTTACTCACCGGTGTGCTTCGAATTCTGCCGGTGAGGAGTGCGGCCGAAGTGCGCCCCCGAGAATATAATCGTCCTGCACATGTTGCGGCGGTTGAGCGCGCAAGGTGTTGCAACACACGATGACGTACTTTGCTGATATTTGGGGTGAGCAGTAGAGATTCACGACGCCAAAATTGGTACATAGTTTGGGCTTCTTCCTACGACGCTGAGGCTGACAGTAAGCCTGTCAGTGATTCGTTCGAGTAGAGTAGAGTGACTGCTTGATGAAAGCATCCGTACGGTGCGCATGTTCGGCAACGGAGAGGTGTGACGCCCCGTTCGGAAGACCATTTGAGAGTGGAGCGAAGGTAGAGAGCAACGGTCTTCGTGAACAGCTGGAGAATGTCAACGCGAATGTTTGCGGCGGCTGAAGGCATGAGGTATTGGAGCCGGTACATCCTGAACCGCGAACCGGTCAAGATATCTCGCAACTTGAACACCTGGTGTGTCTGTGCGCGGTATAAGAAGGCCGGCTTCTGGGAGGTCGACAACCCCAAGCCAACCAGCCGCAGCGTAAGCTTCAGTATCATGCTCGCGATCAAGATATTCTCCAAGCTCACCTCCGGCTTCGCCGTGCTCGCCATCCTTGCCGCCGCCACCCTCGCAGCGCCCGGCAACACTTCTACCTCTGAGCCCGACGCGCCGTCTTCTTCGTCTGTGCCCGCGCCATCCACCTCAGCTATCCCTTCAACCACACCCGCATCTTCCACCCCGGCCGCGCCCTCCACCACTTCTGCGCCGGCTACTCCTACTGAACCATCTACTACGTCCGCACCCGCCACCCCTACCGCGCCGTCTACCACAGCTGCGACGCCCTCTCCCCCTGCGACTCCCTCCGCGCCCGCTGGGGGAGCGGGGACGTGCTCGACCGGGGCGCTGCAGTGCTGCGAGTCTGTGCTGTCCGCGAACAGCACCGCGATCTCGCCGATCCTCGGCATCCTTGGCGTCGTCCTCCAGGACCTGGACCTCCCCATCGGGCTGTCGTGCTCCGGCGTCACGGGCGTCGGCGTCGGCAGCTCTGACGCTTGGTAGGTCGCTGCGAGCGGTTTGTGAGGGAAAGGAGTGTGCTGACGAATGTCTTGCAGCTCGACCAACGCGGTGTGTTGCCAGAACAACGACTTCGGTGAGTGCGATGGTCAGGGCGCGGGTGCGGTTCTCGTGCTGACGCTCCTGCTATACACAGGCGGCGTCATCGCTATCGGGTGCCTTCCCGTCAGCCTCTGAAGACACAGGGACCGTTGCGGCGCGAGTCGAGCTTCGGGTTTGGAGCAACAAGAGGATGGCGGACCGAGAGCGAGAGAGGAAGAGCGTGAAGCGCTTCGGAGACAGTGGCAGATCCAATCGCATGCTTGTGGATGTGTACGCGCATATGTGACTATGAACGTGTGCTTGATGATCGGCTAGCGCACCGCAGATGACACGAAGCAGGGAACTCTGCGTGTCATGAATCCACGATAAGCTGTATCCGGCTTGGGCGCGGCGCCAATGCTTGATAAGGGTCCAATCGGCCGCTGTTGGGACACACTGCACCCATGACAGCTTCCATTGCCTCCGTACTGGCGATACAAGGCGCGCGGGGCGCAGCCTAGTTGAGCGGAACGAAGGCCCATCACGAGTGGTCTCGTTGGAGGCGCCGTGGGCGGGAATCAACCGTATCTTTGCGTCTGAAAGTGTGTCAGGCATTGAGATCGGTACCAGGTCAAGACGCTGTGCAGAAAATCGCATGAGCTTGATCTACAGGCGCGCTCTTTTAGCGTCTACAAGAGAAGATTAACTGTCGAATGCCCGTTGTGAAAAGACGTACTCATTCAAGGCCGAGATCAGAGATACTAGCGGGATATTTGCGCCATCCTGTCTACCGTCTCTTCCAAGAGTCGTCATAGAGTTATAGGTGGATCAGCATCGCAGTCCTGAGTCCACGTAGATGCCAGCGCAGTGTCCACGGGTAACAATGTAGCCCTCGCGCGGTACCAGCCTCAGGTGTGGTACCTAGAGAGATTACGCGAATATGTACCTAGAACTTCGTCCGACTACGGTTCAGCTTTCCGCTTGGCAAAGGATATACGAAGGATAGTCACTCACCTCTCCCGACGTACGTTGACGCTTCTCCAGCTTAGTCGCCGCACAGGTCTGCTAGGTAGACAATAATAATTATCATCCCCATAGCAGTTTGCTATGTTTGTTTCCGCCGATGACGGACAGGTAGACAGTACTGGCGGAGAAGTCGACTCCCTTGAACGGATCCGAGGTGACTCTGAGGGAGCGCGAGAGAAAGAGAGGATCATTGTGAGCGCTCGACGCGTGTCTCCTCCGGACTTTGCCGATCGCATCAAAGTCCGACTGCCAAGACGGTCGTGCTTGTTTCGTCCTCTTCCTCGTGGTCGACGTTATAACCACATATCAGTGTCTTCTCGTGCAGTAGATTTATTTGATTTCAACGGGATGTATGTCCCTTTTTGTACGATCTTCAGAATCCGGCGGTAGACGACTCTAATTGTTGAGGACGGGCTCAAAGTTAACACTGGACACAAGTTGCTCGTCCTACGTTGCTAGACGTTCTAGCAGTAACTAAAACCTCTTACGGGAATTTCCTGCAGCACGCTCGAAACTCGTGAACGTACGAAGCCATGGTGTAGTACTTATTGTCTACTTGCGCCGTTCACGAAGGACGGGTGAACAAAACATATTAAGCGAGTACATAACACGATGCACGGTAGGCCGTCCTACATCCGAGCCTGGGACGGTCGGAAGACGAAGAATTCAACCCTCAACTCCGGAGCTTCCGCCTCGCTCACAGGCAGGAGCTGTCAGCTATTCGCGCATAGCCAACGCCGTGATCAGTACGAGTTTCATCAGCGCAGAGAGAGGAACAAGACATACAGCTGGGCTGGACGACGAAATCGGCGGAGCGTCCGGTCTGGCCCGTCGCGTCGGTCACGGAGAAGAACACGGTGGTACCTGTTGCAGAAATCAATGAGTATTGTATGTGCTAAAGACGATTGAGACGGGAACTATGACTTACCGGAAGGAACGTTGGTGTGCCAGGTGCCGGCGTTGTCGCCCGGTCCCGGAGTCATGCCCTCAGTGACTCCATCGAAGTTCATGCTAGAAAAGAAACACTGTCAGACAATTCGGAGACTGCTCCCGTAGCAGAAATACTCACCGCTGAGGGATAAACGGCGAGTGCAGACGGTGTACGTCAGCTAGTGAGCAATACCAGGAAGAACATCTGTGCGCACCAAGGTGAAGGGAGCTGGACAGCAGGGTTAGTCGCCTATCGTGATCCTCAAACGGGGTGCTCGCGACTTACCAGTGCCGCCGGTCCACGTCCCGACGGTATCGCCGCACTGGGGAGCGGAGGTCCTGAAATGGGATCAGAGTTCATCGACGTCCCGCTGCCTGCGCTGTGCTTACGGGGTGTTGACGACGAGAGGGTCGGCGGCGAGCACTGAGGCGACCATGGCGAGGACGAAGGAGAGGGAGAAGCGCATCCTGTCTGAGTCTGAGAGATGTCGAGTAGTTCTAAGAAGAGATGAGTGCGGATGGTCTCTGTGCAGAGCTCGAGACTTAGCCTTTATACCATGTGCGCCCTCAGAGCCTTCGCGCTGGTATGGCCCCGGCAACCCGGTTACTTAGGCGTACCCCGAATGACAAACCGGTTGGTGGAGTGCGGTGCGGACATCATACCCCGAAACGACACAGCGTGTCGATCGCGTACACACCGAATCAAAGTAATGCGGTGCTGAGACGGCGGTGTGTGAGCTCGTTGTGGGACAACTTGAGGTTCTCCATGAGAAAGCGGGCATATGCGGTTAGAGCTGCATGCATACAATTGCTTCACGTACCGCTCTGAAAGACCGAACACCTCGAAGTAAGATGTATCGTTGGGCGTCAAGGCGGTCTCTGTGCCTCTCTTGGCTCTGTGAAACAGCAAACCAAAATTGAGGGGATATCATCGCCAGTAGAAAAGACTATGAGCAGGAGGACAAGAGACTCACAAAAGGACACGGAGGGACAACGCCGCGAGACCGTCGCCGATCCCAGAACCCATCAACAATGCGCTGCCGCACATCAAATCTCCGGAGGTTATTACTACGTTATGAGTCGTACATGCGTCGCTACGCATCGTCGCACCAACGAGGTGTGGCATGCGTGTATGTCCTCTAAGGCAATAGCACACGGGTCAGCATAGGAAGGGTGCCAAATGGAGTGCGTGCTCGGCGTACCAGATAAAATCGAGTCTTGAGAGGTCGCAGGTGATAACAAAGCGTGGGAGCCAAAGGCAAAGCAGTTATCCTATGTGCTGTAGAGGAATGCAGACTCAAACGCAAGTCACCTGTACAACGCACAATCCCACACATGGTTAACATACGGTCTCGTTCGAAGACGGCATTGACCGTCCGGCATCGCAGTGATACGACACATCATATACAGAGTATTCAATCAGCAAAAGAGGGGACGTCGAAGCACACCGCGGTATAGACAATGCCACTTGAAATGATAACCACGGATGCTCAGTCGGAGTCAGGTCGGGTTGAACCCGGATAGATCGCGAGGGTCCGTGCCTAGGTTACCGCATATGAGTTGTGCCAACGTAGAAAACCCGGAGCGGCGGAATACGCACCGCATGCGCTCTCATACACATCGAATTCGACGCTATTGGCGATGGGCGTAAGCTGCGTCATGTTTGCCTTTGTCGGGTAGAACTGGAAACCACGCGGTATGATGAGTTTTCCGAACATGGGTGGAGGTCATTTAAAAACTTCGAGATACGCACGGAGACCATGTTGGTGATCCACGGATTACGGAACGCCGCCTCGATATTGCCGGTCTGCGACCGCTGCGCAGTTACAGCAACAAGCACTGCCTGCTTTCCGGGCGGAAGCAAGTACTTGGTCGAGTTCTTCACTGCGATCTTCAACACGCTGCCCTCCGCGAGGCCCCCTGACAACGATATGTTTTGTGGGAAGCTGAAAGCAGTGCTCGCGTTAGACCCGGCCGATTGCGCGTTCGCGTTTATAGTGGTAGTCTGCTCGACGACGGCCTCTCCGCCCACTGTCATGGTGATAGAGCTCGTACCATCGCCACAGCTAAAGAGAATGTATGATTATGCAGGTCGCTGAGTGGATCACACGGACGGAAGGCAGACAGTGAGGACGTACTTGAGCTGCGGATTGCCGAGGATGGTGAATGTATGACTGTTAGGGTTATCGATACGATTGACCTGCACGAGATTGAAGACATGTGTTAATGAGGTACCCAAATGACTTACGAGAGTGCAGTAATCTGCACGTCGAAGATGGGGGGACCCGGGAGCGCCAGGGCAACTATTGATAATGTCCTGGTCGGCGGGTCCCGCCAAGAGGTGGACGTTGAAGTCCCGAGCACGAAGGTTGCTGCTGGGTTCCTTCCGATGTGGATTGGAAAGAGCGAGAGCCAAAGCGACTTCAAGGATAAGAATAGCCAGAGGAAGGATTAGGAACATGACAGAGCAGCAGTGTACCACAGAACTTTATGGACGCTGAGGTATGTCCGGAGTAGAGTTGTCAGGAAAGGACCGGCTTTAAGTACCCCGAGTGCCACGCGCAGCTGCAGCAGTGCCATACACATCGTGTGCATCACCGCAGGGAGTACATGAGGATACAGGCGGTAAGATAGACGTGCTCGACAGATGACATCTCACAATGGCTGGAATCTTACAGCGGCATCGTTGGTACGACAGGACGCTTGTGGCGTGTCGCATATTATCCTGATAGTTGGTGGCGCTGATAGGCTGAAATCAGATATTGCGGTGTGTTAGAAAGAGGCAAACAGAATACGCAAACTTACCGCGCTCCTAGTATGACAGAAAATTAAAGCCGCTAGTGCTGGTAACGCTGATGCTCTTTGGACGCTGCTTGTCAGGCTATTGTCTCCTTTCACGATGGCATATGTAATACTTGCCATTACGGGCAAAAGCATCCAGTTGACATAGCGTAATTGTCCTTGCAAGGCCAACCTAGGACTGCCGACGTGGATGAGGACGACGAAAGCGAGTACACTGAGGCCCGAATCGCCCGAGCGCCCGATGTACGTGCGCCGGACTTTGCCGAAGAACCTAACCGCCCAAATAATTAGTTCGGACTCGTCACTCCCTCTTGCACTCTCTTGCCATCGACTGTTCGAAGCCCGGCGTGCAAAGATCGCATGCATATCAGGTCATATCACACTATTAAGGAATAATGATGTAGCGCACCTGCGGTGCAACATCAACGGCCACAGGTCAGTCATGTCAGCGTAACGACCTCAGTACCGCTGAAGCAGCGCTGGCAGAAACCGGACATCATATAGTGAGCGGATCTGTCACTACCCGCATCGCGCACGACTACACCGCTTGTCTAGAACCAAACAGATCAGTCACAGGTTGACGATGCCCCGGGATGGCCTCTCATCGTCGTACTTGTTAACAGGATCCGATTACTCTATTCCGCAGGTATGCGAACAAGTTCACTGGGTACACCGATATCGCGATAGGTACGTCTCCGCGGTCTCCTCTGTTACCCGGAATGCGTTTGCGGTACGCGCAAGCTGCCACTGCGCAGGGCAGTCCCACAGATTCATGGGCTCCGCCATTGCCCAGGCACTGCGTGGCCTGGACTCGCCGTGGAAACTCGTGCAGCCGAAGGCGGTTTGGAGTTGCAGCTGTGTAGGTTGTCATTTTCCGTTGGGAGTGCGGATCGCTCTCGACGCCCGTCGACATGTATACCACGTCCGGCAGCGAGCTAGACATCCACAGACTTGCAACGCTGCCGCGAGCTCGCTGAGCTCCGCGATCGAGAGCGTCCGATGACACAACGCACCTACAGGTCTCTCACAGTCAAGCAAGGCGGCGAGGCAAGCTTGCGTCCAGTCTTTCAGGCACAGCAAGCTGCATCATGGGGTGTAGCCCGGCTCTTTCAAGAATATCCTGGTGACGTTCCGCAGCGTGGTCGCAGCCCCCCCAACGCACCTGGACCTGGAAACAGTGAACTTAGCAAACACGCGACTCACGGACAACTTCACGCACGAGAACTGCATTCTCATGACTTCGCAGTCCATGTCGCACGCAGCCCGCATTCTTCCGATGGAGCTGCGGTGGTAGTGCGTCTCCGGGTCTGGGACGGCGAATCCTGAGGACGAGCGGCGGCGCTAGAGAGCGCATGGGAAGAAGCATGGACTGGAGCTGAGCGACACACTCGGATGGAGGTCTAGAACGGCAAGCGAGTAGACGGCGATCCTGCGAGCCGTCATGAAGCTTATTTGGCTTACGGTTCGTGGATGATCGTTGAGAGAGCGGAAAGTGAGCGGTGCGAAGACGTACATAAGTGCGAAATGGGGTCGGGCCGTACATGGGATTGTATGGCGACACGGGTACCTGTGACGCACCGCGCTTCCTGCCACGCTGGATGTGGAGCGTGCAGCGAGCGGCCGCGTCGTATGCGAGAGAGTGGATGTCGTCGGTCCTCGCTGTGCTAGAGCCTGCTAATGTGCACAGGGCGAAGTGTCCTCGAGCGTCATTGGTGCGCCGACACTTAGCACTGGGTAGTCCGGAAGGAATATCAGCAAACCCACAGGCTATAAGAGGGCTGCAATCGCCCTCCTCATCCTCACCAACCGCTCCTCGTCTCTCCAGCCCAAATAACCTCACCAACCTTCCCTTCCTTCATCCCACCTCCCGCACCACCATGTTCGCCCAGCTCACCGCCTTCTTCGCCACGCTCGCAATCCTTGCCGTCGCCAACGCCCTTCCGGGCGGCGCGCCGCCCTCCACCACCCCCGCCGCCCCCGCGCCCTCCGCCCCAGCAGGTGCGGGCGCGGGCTCGTGCAGCACTGGGGCGCTGCAGTGCTGCAACTCTGTCCAGTCCGCGGACAGTGCGGCCATCGCGCCGATCCTGTCCCTCCTGGGGGTCGTCCTCCAGGACGTGAACGTTCCGGTCGGGCTGACCTGCTCTGGGATCACCGGCGTCGGCGTCGGAAGCGCGAACGGCTGGTGAGTTGACTTCGGTGTGTTCTATGCAGCGGGGCATGCGCTGACGGACCATGATTTACAGCTCCGCCACTGCCGTATGCTGCGAGGACAACAGCTTCGGTAAGCTGCATATACCTGTTTCGTGGCCGCGTTCGGGATGCTGACCGATGTTGTAGGCGGGCTCATCTCCATCGGCTGCCTCCCTGTTTCGCTCTGAGCGAGCTGCGGGTGTGCGCTCTGTCAGGAGGACGCTCACACGAATGTGACGGCGACGCAAAGGACGATGGGAGGGAGGTTGTGAATGACGACCGAGCGGACAACTAGTAGGACCGTTGGAATTTGATCTGTATCCATGAACGTGCACGCCCATATACGAATGCGTCGTCATACCTTGACACTCTATGACGACGGCTCGAAATGTTTGAGGCCAGCCTTCGAAGGGGTTTTTTCCCCCCAAAACGCCGAGGATCCCGTTGCAATCATCGAACCTGTTCTAAGAAGGTCCTCCGAGAGAGCGTGATGTCGTTGTATCCAGCTTGCTTAAGTTAAAATCGATATTAATATTTATCCATACGATAGAACCAATGACCGCGAGGCGTTGCAGTGTGCAAAAGTGAAGTACCCAGGCGCTCGAAAGCTTTCCCAGCGATGATTCCGCCAGTGGTGTGTCACGAGCCCCTCGCTGTGCACACGATGGGTATCTCCGTGGACGAGCCTAGCTGTTGTTGTTCAGGTCGCGGGGATCCGTGCCTGTGTACCATAAAAGCGTCAGCATACGGCGACGACTACTATGAGAGCGCGAGTGGGCACGTACCACATGCGGTTTCGTGGACGTCGAACTCAACGTCACCGGAGTCGGGCGAGAGCTGCGTGATGGTCGTGCCCGTGAACCACTGCAGCACAGTCGCAGCGTCAGCGCAGGCCGAGACCGCTGTATATGGGAACAAGGCCCGAACTCACGATGAAGTGGCCAAACTGCCGGCTACCGTAGTTGACCTGCACGTTGCCCGTCTGCGAGTGGAAGTTCGTGCCGGCGACGTACACCGCCTGGCGGCCCGGCTTCACGGTGAAGCTGATCGACTTGGACACCGTCTGGCTCGTCGATGTCGACGATTCGATGCCGCCGCCGACGGAGATGCCCTCGAAGTCGATCCCGAAGTTCGCGTTGACAGTGGTCTCGGACCCGACCGTCGACTCGCCCCCGAGGGTGACGGTGATGTCGTCAGACGAGCCGCCGCAGCTAGGTTTGGGGGAACTGCAGTCAGCATGCGGCGGACTTTCTGAGATGTGGGCGCGGCGTACTTCAGCTGGGGGTCGCCGAGGATCGAGAACAGGCGGACATCCGGGTTGTTCACGATGTTGATCTGGATTTCCTCACTTGTCAGCAGGCTGAGCATGAATGCGAGTGAGGGCAGACGTACGAGGGTGCACCTATCGGCGTGCGCAATGTTGCTCGAGCCAGGACCCCCGGGGCAAGAGGCCAATAGGTCCTGGTCGGCGGGAGAATCGTCGCGTGACAAAAGGGTGTCGTTGGCGTGGCGGGGAGGCGTGTATAGCGCCATGGCCGAGGCAAGCACGGATGCGACAAAAAGCGAACGGGCAAACATCTCTCTTGAAACAAAAATTGAGAAAGGTTGAAGATAGAGTGAGCGAACGAAAGAAGAATGGTCAATGGGAATGATGTGCAACGGCCAGAGAGCCTCTGTCTTAAATATTGCGCGTGGATGATCCCCGATGACAGGCTGACCGAACTCGGTTGGTTTAGATGCGATGGTTGCATGTGGCAATGTGCGCCGCCTCGTGGCTCGGTGGATGCATAACCTGAAGCTATCTCCGAGGCAGCCATGGCGGCGGCGACCATGGTTTCAACGCCCACCGACGCCTCTATTCCAAAGGCGGTGCTGAGCGAAGCCGGGCAAACTGGTTACCTCCTGCTCATCCTCCGAGACCTTCGGAGCCACCATCGGCACGCACGAAAGCTGTACAGTTTCTTGATGGTCCGTAGAGACATGACGCGGTGGTTCTGTTACTGGTGAAAGTACATTCAGCCGCAATCAAATAGCAAGAAAGCCGACGTTAACGTTATACCCTCGTGCAGACAATGTCGTGCACAGCCCGGGCGTTGATACTACTGGAGTCGGATACTACGACAACGCGATGTAAGGACCTCGTGCCTATGGTGTATGATCTCAGTTCCAAATTATATCAGACAACAAGGGAAGAAGGACGTACAACAACATCTTCGAATATTGCATCCGTCCCCTAGGCACCCGCCACCCCGTCTGTCCCGACATCCCCAACGCTAACGCTCCGTCGTATAGACACTGCCCTTCCCAGGCCTTCCAGGAACGACGCAGGAAGCGGCCCCTGTGCGTACAGCCGGACCCGTACATCCTCCTCGTTCATGAGGAATAGGTCTGGCACCTCCGGAACTGCAATGTGCCCGAAGGAGATCAGAGACAGGCGCCGGCACAGCAACACAGTGCGCTCACCGAAAATCATTTCGTATCCCCTCACGATCGCTGCCTCGGGCTCGTCGGGATGGGTGATCCGTACTTCACCATGACCGTGCTGTGCCGTGCCCGCCAGCCACGGCAGTGCGCTCAGCTCCATGCATTCGAAACCGTCCGCGTCCCACCGCACCGACCCGAGCGCCTGCAGGTGGTCCGGTACGTACGAACACGTACGCGGCGGATGCTTGATCCCCTTGTAGCTGTCGCGCTTCTGCAACGAGGACGTGTGGGAAAGCAATGCGTGCACTGGGGCGGTTGCTGCGGGAATCCCGTCGGCCGGGCTTGAATTTGGCAATGCAACGTCCTTGTCCGTCGGCGTCGCACCAGCTTTACGCCCCTTCGTCCTCCTCTTCTTGCCCGAGCCCGCAGCTGGTACCGGATCAGTCGCGCTCTCTTCAGGCGCAGCAGCGCCCTTGACCGTTCCCTTTTTCCTCGGCTTCTTCGTAACCGAAGCCGGGGCTGTCGCAGCCGCCGCGATTTGCTCTAGCTTAACTTCGACTCCGCTTGTCGTCTTCGCCTTCTTGTCGCCTTTTGCCTTCGTTACACGTTTCGTCTTCGCTGTTGCTGAGCCGTACGTCAAAAATCACTGCACAGGCAACGCAGACTATCCAAACTCGCCTTGGGTCTGCACCTGCCCCAACGCGATGCCGCCGTCCTCCGTCTTCACGGAGGACGCGGTAGCCTTGTCTTTCCCTTTGGTAGGTCCAGCCTTCTTAGAACACTTCTTTGCCTGCGTCAAGTCTTCCGTTACTGCCGGAAGTGGTTCTACACGAAATATGAGTCGACGACAGTCAGAACAGCAGCTTCATATGCTGTAGGCGCCACTTACTGATATCCTCGTCCGCACTAACGAAAATCCCATCGCTCGCTTTGAACGCTGCCTCACACTCCGTAAGGCCCCTCTTCACCTTTAGGACACCGAGGGTAGTCACCATAGCGACGCAGGCCTCGGCGAGGTGATCGTCGAATGAGTCATTGTCTGTGTCCTGCGCGGCTTCATCGCCGGTAGGACGCACAGGCCGTCCCGGCTGCGGGGTGCATGGCTGGCTCCCGGCGGCTGGTGGCCCAGGAGGCGTGCGCACTCGAGGCGGGAGAGGCAGAACATGGGCGGGGAGGTCCATGGAGGCGGTAGAGGCGCATATATCGACACCGACACTTGTATCGGAAACTGGTCTCGTCGGTCGTACGGGCTGAGGGGTTGGTCGTCGGCTCCTTGGAGAGTTTCCTCCCAGGGGTGCGTGGACGCAAGGTGGGATGTCGGATGGCGGGGATGCACGGTGTAGACCGGAAGATGAATCGTCGATCTCGGTCGACAGAAGACGGGTATTATGGTTCGTCGGCGCGTCAGTGAGTGGTCGATCTGGCCTATCAGGCTCAGGCGTGCAGGGGTCGGTAGACGAGTAGCCACCGCGCGGCGAGTGAGCGCGATGCGGAAGGTCCTGGGGCTGGCGGGTCACGGCGGACACTGGCACATCGTCATTCGTTTCATCCTCCTCTTCCTCTTCCTCACGCATATGCACGTGGACGCTATCCTCCTCATCCTCTTCCTCGCGCGTAAGCATGCGGATGAAAGCGTCCTACGTACTTTCGTTAGCTTCCTAGAACCTTCAGCGAAGGTATTAGATGGCACAACACACCTTCGTAAAGTACCCGTCAAACTTTCGATCGACGACCGGCCTGGGAGGGCGATTAGGCTCCGATGTGCGCTGTCTACTCCCTCCAGACGGTGGACAGGGTGGGGAGTGTGAACGAGGGGGGAATGGTCGTTCTTGTGCACATTCCATGTTCTTGACCTCATTGTCCGCGATATTTACACTGAAGCTGTGGTCTTCACAGGCCGGACGAGGGGGCCTGAGAGGTTGAGGCGTGTTCGACGTGCTTCCGGGTCCGGGGCCCGAGTTCGGGGGTGTTCGGGGGCGTGGAGGGATGTCGGCGGGAGGCGGGAGGCTATGCGGGCTGGGGGTTCTAAGAGGTAAGGGGATAGACTCGATGCGTTCGGGGGAAACGTGCCGTTCTAGAGTATCGACGATAGATGGGGAACACAGCCGCTTTGGGGACGGGGAGACGATCGTGCAAGGAGACGAGGAGCGTGGTGCCAGGAAAGGCGACGTCGGAGGAGACGAGGCCAGAAGAGCTTCAACTTCCTCTTCCCCGGACGATGATGAGGCGGAGGGAGAGAAGAACGTAGGCGAGAAGAATGAACCTGAGGGTCCCCGCGGACTAGGCGTCCGAGGGGCAACAGCGGAAACGAGATCAAGATTCTGAGCGGCAGGCGGAGAGGAGGGCAGAGAGCTAGCTGCGTTGAAGTGACCAGGAACAGATGCAGACAACGAGAATTGACCCTCGGTATGCAAGATGGATGAGGGCGATAACTTGATTCTTTTGGACGGAGAAGATGGAGACGGAGAGGAGCTTTGGGGCTTGGGGGCATCGTTTTCTTGCGAGGATAACGCGCAAGTAGTATTGGGCATAGCTGTGCTTGATGGAGGGCTGTATACTGTTGAGTCACCAGACAGAGGAGAGTTGGACGTAGAAAGCGCATCAGAGAGAAGCGAGTAGTTCCCAGTTGCAGTGTGAGACGACTCGGTATCCTTGGTTAGAGCAGATGATTCATTTTCTATGGAGTCCCAGCTCCGCTTCCGACCGTCATACGATACGGCCTGGGAGGACTGAAGCTGGGTGTATGCGGCCAAGGCTTCGCTGTAGAGTTCATGAGAGAAGCGGACACGCCGAGGAACGCGAGCGGTGGAGTTGGACCGCCTAGACACACGAAGTGCAGACTTCAAAGCGGGACGCGAGACCAAGCAAGCAGTCACCAAGAGTTGACTAGAACCAGCTGACACAGGGGAGGGCGTCTCCGACAGAGCAGAACCAGAGACAGGAGGAAGAGCAGGGTTGCTTGAGGGGTTACAAGTCGGACAGCCAGGATGCGGGTTTCCATCATGGGCGCGGGTATGCCGTACACCGTGGCCTAGAGTTGACTGGACGGGAGGACGAGAGGCCTGGGTCGGGTTGGAAGGAGGGTGAAGACCCTTGAACCTCTTCTTCGCGGGTTCGGGTCCAGCTAAAACAGGTGAGGCTGCCCGCTCCCGTTTGACTCGAATGTTGTCGGAAGACAAGAAAGGCGCTTCATCTATCCTCTGTGCAGAGAGACCGGAAGTCCGCCTCGATCTTCGACGAACCCAGTCGGTGACGAAGACGGGATCGACACCGCGTTCCGTCGCCCATGCATTGCAAAATGAGACAGAGAGATCAACTGATTCGCTATCGAGGAGAGCGTTGAGCTCGGCGCGATGTATGCGGGAGATTGGTTGGAGGGGACGTGAGGGTGGTTGAGGGATATCGGGCTTGCGGTCTTCCTCGGCCGGAGGTGGGCTATGTGCTGGTCGCGCTCGGCCCTTGGTGGTCTTCTTTCTGGGCATCTCGCTCTGCCGAATTTGACTGGCATAAAGGTCCAAGCCAATCAGTGCACAAAGACGTAAGCCGGGGGGAGGCGTCTACTACGAAAGGTTCATGATTCGACTTGCCTAGTCTCGTCACCAGACGGTATAATTAGATCGCTCCTTTTTGGGACAGGGACAAGGCAGAGGGAGAGGAGCGAAAACTATACCGTCTGGTGGAATTCGGACAGAGGGGTGGGGGGTTGTCACGCTCGCGCGACAGCGAAGCCTGTCAGCCTGTCAAACGCGCCTCGACGCGTCCCGATCGAGCACCCGCCCCCGCTAGAATGAGGCGGCCTCCGTGGTTGTTTGCAACTATATGCTTCCCGCGCGGTTCACACCAGTACGGGTTTTTATCAGGCAGCTCGCGAGACCACGCGCGTACCCTGATTTCGCATTTAGGAGCGAAAAATCGGCGGCTTGGATTATCTGTGCATATAATACCCATTGTGTTCGCTGCACGCCTTGAGACGGACTGACGAGAGGTGTTGAATGCTTCGCAAAGCGGTGCCTATATTCTCGCACACGTTTTGTCCTCGAAGAAATATCGTTCGGGACTGCGCGCGGGGGTCTATCGCAGAAAGCACACTAAGGTCGGCGACAGAGGGCGGGAGGCTGCAGAGTCGAGAGCTGTCGCGCGCACGTCCAGGTGGAGCGAGAGTGACCGGGTGTGACAGCCCCCCACCCCTCTATACGAAAGCCACCAGACGGTATAGGTGGGTCTCTGCGCGGGTTTCTGTCTTTCCTGTCCCGATTTGGAAGAAACTGCGCGACCCCCGAATACCGGCTGGTGACGAGACTACGACTTGCCCGAGGACCTCGACGAACTGAACACTACCGTCCCTGCATGGGCCATTCCTGTAAACATCCTTACCGTTCTTCCACCTCACCCTTAATTCTCCACGTTACGCGCCCAGGACCTCGAACCCTATCAGGCCCCCGTACACCCCTCCTCTGCGATGAGAGAACGGGCCGCCGAGATGGCTGGGCGCACTTTCCTCCCTCCGTCTCCCGCAGGTTTCGCGCAACATGGTACGCTCGCCGCAACTATATTCGCTGCATTCAGTATTGCTCATGTGCCCTACTCTGCCCTACTAGACGGTCTGCACCGATTGCGGCGGTACTGTCATCGAATACGATGCAGCTGCCGGTAACGGCTTTTGCGTGAACTGCGGAACAGTGGTAGAGGAGAATACCATCGTAAATGAGGTGCGTGATGGATTACGAGCGATGTATTCCGCCGCGGTGCTAACATTTTCTGTAGGTAACCTTCGGCGAGACGAGTAATGGTGCTGCTATGGTACAGGGGACGTTCGTTGGTCAGGGTGCCAGTACGTTTTCCTCTTGTTTCTTCGCGGTCGCACGTTCTGATATAGTGCAGCACGAGCGCGAATGGGCGGTATGTTTGGAAATAGGGGTAACACGGAGAGTAGGGAACAGACCATCGCAAATGGTGAGCACCATCAGTACGCCCGTTTCGCTTGTTCTTACATTTTACCCAGCGAGCAGAAAGATTCAGCAAGTCGCAACCGCGCTCAGACTATCCGAAGTCGTATCGCTAGCCGCAACCCGCCTCTACACCCTTGCCGTCGAGCACAAATTTACCAAGGGCCGGAAGAGCATGAACGTCGTCGCCGTCTGCCTCTACGTCGCATGTCGACAGAAGGAGACGCGGAACTACATGCTTATCGACTTTTCCGACCTGCTCCAGGTACATATCCTCCCTCCTCCATCACCTTCCACTCATTCACGTGCGCATACACCCACCCCTTCAGGTGAACGTGTTCGAGCTCGGGCACACATACTTGCAGCTCGTACAGACGCTGAATCTACGGCTCCCGCTCGTCGACCCCTCTCACTACATCTCGCGCTTCGCCGCGCTGCTCGAGTTCGGGGACGAGACGCACCAGGTCGCGATGGACGCGGTGCGCCTCGTGCAGCGCTTCGACCGTGACTGGATGACGAAGGGCCGTCGCCCCGCGGGCATCTGCGGCGCGTGCCTGCTCCTCGCCGCGCGCATGAACAACTTCAGGAGGAGCGTCGCGGAGATCGTGCAGGTGGTGAAGATCGCGGACACGACGCTGAAGAAGCGCTTGGACGAGTTCCGCAGGACGCCGAGCGGCGCGCTCACGCTGGCGGACTTCCGCACGGTCTGGCTCGAGGATGAGATGGACCCGCCTGCGTACACGAAGGGGAAGGAGAAGGAAGAGAAGGAGCGCGTGTTGCGCGAAAACGGTGGCGTAATGCCGGACGAGGAGGGTAAAGGTAAAGGTAAGGGCAAGGCAAAAGCGAAGGGAAAGGGCAAGAAGAAACGGAAGAGGGACTCGGAGGACTCGGAGGAAGAAGCTGAGGCGGAAGCCTCTCCTGCGCCCGAAGACGCTGGTCCTTCCCAGCTGCCTCCGCCCCCGTCGATAGACGCGGAGCTCTTGAACCAAGGTATTCTGGCTGGGACGACTGGTCCTCTCCCCCTCTTCCTCCCAGAAGACGGCGACGATGTCCCTTTCAGTATGCCCCTGGCCAGTCCGGATCCCCCCATCGACCCAGCCCTCCTCGAGCCGGAACCGGAGCGCACGCTCGTCAATCCCCCGCCCGAGTCGCAGCAAATACCGAACCCGGACCCCGACCTGCCCCCAGACAAGGCGCTCTCACTCCCCGAGGAGCCGCCGTCGCCGCTTGATGAGACCGTCACCGCGGTCGTAGAGCAAGAGGTCACAGACTTTCTCACCACCGCCCAAAGCTCGCTGCTCAACTCTGCACTGGACGAAGCCGAGCAGCGACGGCACGAGAACTTCACGGGCGACGACGAGCTGCTCGGACTCGACGAGGAGGAGCTCGACCGCTTCCTGCTCACCGACGACGAGGTGAGGATCAAGGAACGCGTCTGGGTCGAGATGAACCGCGACTATTTGGAGGCACTCGCAGGTGAGTACGGCCACGGATAGTGGTCGCATCATATGTTGTGCAACCTAATGCACGCTGTCGCTGAACGGTATCGATCAGCGAAAGCGGAACTACAAGAGAGCGAAGATAAGCAGAAAAAGACGCGCAAGGTTCGTATCCCGCTTAGGGCAACATTTATTCTCATTTCATTCCATCACATCAAGTCTATCGTGGTGCTCTGCTTCATTTCGCACCTCCGCGAAGCTTCTTAGCCACGTCGGTACGCTCAAATCTCATGCGGTTTTGCTCCCCATAGCGCCGAAAAACAAACAACAAACCGCGGGATGCGTCGACACCGCACGGGAGCACCGCCGCCGAGTCCGTGCGGAACCTCATCAAGAAGAACCCGAAGTACAGCAAGCGGATCAACTACAACGCGCTCAAGGACCTCTTCACGGACGCGGGCGGCTCGTTCCAGATGCCGGCGGGGGACGACGAGGACGAGGACGGGAAGGACGAGGGGCTGTACACGCTCGACGACAAGGACGAGGGCGAGGGCATGCTTATCGTCGAAGAGGGCGGCGGCGGCGTTGGCCAGGCTCTGCCGGCGAAGGAGCGCTCCGCGAGTGTCGTGCCAGGGGCGCCGGTTTCGGCTGGGGTGGAGAACCTGCTGGAGGCGGCGGACGATGAGGACGCGGAGGGCGAAGAGGATGTGGAGGAGAAGGACGACGCGTATGGAGAGTGGGATGGGTACGAACAGGAGGTATGATTAGCGAGCAGTCTGAAGTCAAGAACGCTGTGTATCAGTAGGACCTTTCAGTTGTATCTCATTGGTCATCGTGTTCGAAGTTGTGGCTGACCCCGTCTTGCAGCGATGTCTCCGACATCAAAGCAGTATGCATTTCTACAGCTCCGTCTGTCAGGTACTGAGACACGGCGGAGACATCTAGTGGTGGCAGCGCGTCCGGATCTTGATGAGCCCATGCGAATCCCGTGCGCCCTCGGGCGCCATCCTGCAGCTAGTGACTGGCGACGACCAGCGATTCATGTGGTGCCCTCGGCCTTGCCGCACTTCGCGGATACTCGAACTTCCCGCACGACCACACAACTTTCGGCGTCTTCCAAAATTGATCGTCGAGCGTCCCATGTTACAAGTGCTTGATCAGGAACTCGACCGTCGCTTTGAACGCGCCCTCCTTCCCAGCCTTGATCTTCGGGTCGCTCTGCGAACGGGAACGCCTTTAGCCATGAGCGTGCTATGGACTGCACGCCGAAAGCACGTACAATATCACCACGGACGGCAAAGCCGTGTGTGCAGCCCTCCCAGTATGTGCGCTCGTATCCGGGCGCGAACTTGCCGTCTCCGAGGATCTCGTCCGCCTTCGCCTGCGCGTCCTTTCCGAACTGAAAGTCGTTCTCGCACGAGTTGATCAGCAGTGGTGCCTTCGACTTCGCCAGGTATGTCTGTTGCGACTTCTGTTAATACCGCTCATTAGTCCGACTCATGCAGGTACAACACACCTCGAGATCATCGGGGCTCTTCAAGAGCGACGGGTGCGAGACCGCGACGACGTTGACCTCCCCGCTGATGGCGAGGTCGAACGCGGGCCGCCCTCCGTAGCAGTACCCGACCGCGGCGATCTTCGTGACGCCCTCCGCCTTGAGCGCGCTCAGCACGGGGCGCACAATGTCCGGGATCTCCGATGCGGGGTGTTTGCCCAGCCAGCCCATGAGGTCGAAATCGCCGCTGTTGAGCTCTGCCTCGGGCAGCGCGTCGCCCGCGAAGAGGTCCGGCAGGTACACCTTGAAGCCGTTGCGCGCGTAGGCGTCCGCGAGCAGCTGTGGATTGTTCAAGTTGCATGGTGAGCGCGGGTTTTGGCGGATGCCGTTCGCGGCGTTGACATTTGTTGTACTTACCAGACTGTTTTGCAGCTTAAGGCCAAGGATGTCGCTGAGGAAGAGGATTGCCTTGTCCTTGGGGTAGTCGGTGGATGGGGTCGCAACGTAAGTCTCGATACCGCCGATCAGGATGGTCTGGCCTGGAAGCGGGACACAGCTGAGTTATATGGTAAACAGATACCGCAAGCAAATCGACGAGAACATACCCTCGGGCGTGCCTTCGTGACGAACGCCTGCATTGAACCGACGCGGTGTTAGGCGCATATTCGGCGAGAAGAAAATCGAGATAGTACTCGCCAGAAACGCAGTGCTTGCAGAGAGACATTTGTGATGATGACGCTGTATAAGTGGGATAAAGCGAGGAATGAGCTCGACGAGGTGCTGACTTCCGCTGACAGGTGGGTGTCTTGCAACGTATATATACTCTATGGAGTCTCCGCAGTCCCTCGATCGCGGAGGATTTGTGTACTCCGTCATAGAACAAACGTCTATGAGTTCTAAGGAACCATGCGATCAACGGACTGCAGCTTGATGATCCATCTGGCATCGATGCTTACACTCACCTCTTTTCGGTGATAGCACTTCGATGTGCATATCGACGGCCCCGGATGCGTATCTCCTTGTCGTCTTAGTCAAAGTAACGCCAGGAAAGGAGATGCGCCGCATGGGGCGGTAAGCTGCCGCAGCGGCAGATATGTAGATAAAGCGCACAGCACGACTATGGGCATATACTTGCACATACCCGCACTGCGTACGGCGGCGGGATTGTCGGAGACTTCTACCTCAACAATGGGCGTCTCTCCAAGTTCCGGATGCCTGACGAGGCCTAGAACGGTGGCGCAAAGCGTATACACTTGACGACAAGGACGCAAGCGGGTACAGCATCATCTCGTCTTCGAGGGGAGTAGATAGGTAGCGGCGGCGTCGGTGGGTCAGCTTGTCGTACAGTGGGCGGCTGTTGAGATGGACACGGGGGCGTGGACGATCCAGAAAGCAGGACGACGTGTATGTGGAGTATGTTGGGTATTGATAACATTTTGGGTACGGGCTAATCAAGAGTCTTGTGTACCAGGATGGCCTGTGTGTTCAGTCGGCCGTCGTGATCGAACCAGAGTCTGCGAACGTCTTGAAGCGGCGTCTCAGATCCCAAGAGAGTGAGCAGTCACCAACATCATGGGCACTGACTGACCGGGATGCGATAGACGTCAACATCCAGCACTACACCCGGGGCCCGGTCGAACGCCGCGAATGCTGCGCGCCATCTTGTAACCAGCGCGTCTCTCAGCTCATCAAGCTGGAACGCGGCAAACCGAGATGACCAGAGCTCGTGGTGGTCGTTCCATACTTGCGGCTCCACACGCAGTGTCAGCCTGCGAAACGCGGGGTACCGCTGTCGGTCAAGCAGGCTGCTCGCGAGCCGTGCGCAGAGCTCGTCGGTGATCGACGTCATGCGCCCCGCGCGGTCGACCATCTTGAGCTTGAGGTGCTCGAAAACGGGGAACGGCGGGGGCCGACGCTCGAAGAGCGCGCAGAGGAGCTCGAAGAACCCCTCCGAGGGGGGGTCTTTTAGGAACGTGTCTGGGCGGAACCGTAAATGGAGGAAACGCAGCGCGGGGCACTGTGCGATGGTGTTGAGCGTGTACGCGTGATAGCTCGCTGGAAACGTGTGATGCGTCAGCATTATGCTGACTCGTTTTCGCGTGAATTGGGGCGTACGGTGCTGGTCGGCACGAGTGACAGCCCATTGAGGGGCAGTCTCTGTCAGTGCGTGCACGCGGTCGCCCGTCGATACGCTTATAGCGTGCAGAGACGTCCGCGCTGCGTGAATAACCGAGATCCATGGGAGGACCTGGGCAGCACCCTCGAACGATACGTTGATCATTTGAAGACCCAGAAGGCTCCGTCCGCCGTCCTGCAGGAGCCTGTCGACCAGCACCGAGTGTGACCATCCTCCGAGTTTGACCACGATTTCCCGGATCGTAGGGAATTGTGAAGGGTCAGGAATGAACTGCATGCCGTCCGAGTCGAGGGGATGGTCGGAAGGAGGGTCGAGCCTGAGTCTAGATGATCGTAATTCGTCCCAGACCATGTAGCAGACGAGCCGCTCCAGCCGCGGGAGCATGCTGATCACGACGACGAAGCTTTCGGTGTTCATCAATTGCACCCATTCGAGCGAGAGCGTTCGCAGCGAGATGAAGAGGTGCCAAGGAAGGACGCGGGGTGAAATGACCGCATCGTCGATCTCGTCCGCGTCACTTGCGGTGAAGCGGGAGATAGTGAGCGACCGGACGAGCGAGCCGAGCGCAGGATGGTCGGTAAGCGTACAGGATAGCGTGCGCGCGTTAGCTATAGCGCGTCCCTGGCCCATTAGCGTGATCGACCGGTAGAGACAGATACGGGTGTGAGGGAGAAGGGCATGACCTGCTAGCGCACAGTTGTAAAGAGAGGATGGATCGTCTCCATCGACGCAGTCGAGGATGTAGAGAAGGATGTCGAGCGGAAGCACCACCTTTTTTGTACTTGAATTGGACATGCTGGTTATGTCCGATTAGAGGATCAGGCGTCAGGTCCACTTTACCCACTGTATGGAACGTTGTAGTGCGTAATGTGGGCGAGCAAGCGAACCTTGAGAATGTGGTGAGAACGAAGCTTCAATAGTCATGCATCATGGTCGAGTAGCCTAAGCAGACGCCCAACGTCCGACATCGGGACAAATATGTACAAGTAGCGCCTGTTACAGTGCATTGGACTGCGAGAAGAGGCGATAAGCCCCTCTTTGTTTGTTCTCGTCCCCCACCCACTCTGCCCATCATCGAACTTTGTTTGACTGCCTAGGTATTCACTATGCCCCCTCGTGGTTAGTGATATTTGTTTTACCGAGTCGATTATTGCAGTTCACTGACCTCTCGACTCGAAAGCTTTCCCATACACAGAAGCTCAACTACGTAGAGCCGGTCTAGGCGAACGCCAGAGATCCGAACGCGTAGCGGAGGTGCTCCAGACAATGAGAGAGTACCCAGATCTGTTTCGCGAGTCCTTCTATCTCTTTCTACGCCTACTTCACCCTAATTTCTTATCCAGGTCTCTCCATCGTCACTCTCCAAAGTATGAACGACGAGGACAAGGCGAAAAAGGCCCGCGACACGCCTCGCAAGCCTGGCTCTCGAGCCTCAAGCAGCACGACTACGCCATCCACTCTCTCAGCCTCCGCTGTACTATCCGTGCACGCCCCCGATGACTACGAAAGGACGTCATACTACAACGGGATCTCGGCCAGTGACCACCCAGACCTCATATACCGCTCAGATTACCTCACCAGGCCCTTCCCGAAGCCCGCCGGCGGACACGCCGACCTTCCCGTCAAGTCGATCCACGGCACACACGGCACCCCGTTGAAAGACGTGTGGGATGTGGTCGCCCCGCAGGTTTTCGCCCTACTCAAGGCGGGCGAGATCAAATGGACGTCCCTCAGCACGGTCTGCTTCTTTACCGATACCCCGGGGGAAGATGAGGGGACGTGGGGCCTCGGACCCCCCGTCATCTGGGTCAAAGTCCCCCCGGGCTCGACCTCCGCCGATGCCGCCCACGAGGTCTCTCAGGAGATCCTTGCTGTTCTGAAAACCCACGACATCGACGACGTGGTTGTGGAGTGGTGCGAGGCGGAGGGAGCTCGCTTCTAGCTATGACGGGCTTGTGCCGATCCGGCAGTCCGCAGGCGATACAGCGTTGCTTCTGCCTCCATGAAGCACCTTTCGCTCGAGCAGTGGTATATCAGCTCAATATATATTCTCTTGTACTAGCTAGCACACGTAGCTAGCGATCGTGCGCCAGCCATCGCAGAGGAGGTTACTAACGAAGCCAATGAGCTCTCATGATTGGTTATCCATCCTTGGTCGGGGTCGGGGTGATGGTCGATGGACTTCGAGTCTCAACGGCGTGCGTTGTTATGGCGGACTTTGTTTCGGCCTATGTATTTCAGTACTTGCTGGGCAGTGAGAGCTAAAAATATGCCGAAAGCTGTACGTCCGTGTTTTTGAACACTCAGCATACACGCACGATATCAATCCTACATAACTAAGCAGCGAGAGCCTGCAGTCCGCCGCATGCAGCAGATAGTACTTACGAGCGCGATGTGCAGACTCGGACCACATTGTCCAACCCGTGCCATTCTCGGAGACGTCATTCGAGGCGTCGTCCTCCCGGCTTGGTTCCCGCGAGGACACCCGCTGTCGCAGAGTCAACAAATCTACATCCAACACCACGCCCGGGGCACGCCCAAAGGCCGCGAATGCCGCGCGTACCCGCCCGAGCATTGCGTCCCGCTCGGCGCGCTCCTGTGCACTGGGCTCCCAAGATATCGACCAATAATTGCCCTGCCATTTCTGTAGCTCCGCACGTATCGTGAGCAGCGCAAAGTGCGGGTACCGTGTCGCGTCGAGCAGGCTGTCCGCGAGGCGCGCACAGAGCGCGGGAGCAGGGGAGACCATCTGCTCCTCGCGGACACGCGCTTGCAGGGAGAAGTGCTCGAGCGCAGGGAGCGGCGGGGGGTGACGCTCGAGTACCGCGCACGGCGCGTACAAGGGGTCCTGAGGGTGTGTATTGGGGATATACGTATATTGATTGGGAAGGTATTTGATGCGGAGTGAGCGCAGGACAGAGCAGTGCGCCACGCTGTCAAAAACGTCTGCAAAGTTGGATGCTGAGAGAAAGTAAGTGACAGAATACAGCTATACGGATGACGTTACGACGAACCGTTTCGCTCGATGTCTGCAGGCGCCTGTACAGTGTTATCCCACCGGTCAAGCAGGTCATGATCAGCCAAAGTCATGCTGAGAGAGCGCAAAGTCGCTCCCGCGGCGCGTATGACGGGAGTCCACAAAAGGGTGTCTTCAATCCACGCGAAAGATAGGTCAAGATACTGGAGATTGGCGATCACACTGGGGTAATTGAACAAGATCCTATTGGCAAACGCCGGGTGGCGCCAATACCCGTATTCGACGCGAAGTCCCTTGAGCCTCGGGAACACGTCTCGAGGGGAGGTACAGACGATATTGCTGTTTCCATGTCTTCATAAATCGTGCCAAGGTCGAGAGCGGCCTGGTCAAAGAGACCGTCGCAGACAAGGCGCTCGAGCTTCGGGAGCATGGCAAGGACGACGAGCAGACCATCCACACCAAGTAGCCGAACATGGTCTAGGGTCAGAATGCGAAGCTCCGGCAGGTGGGAAAACGGGATCAGCTCGGGCGTGAGGAGCGGCTTTTCGTCAAAAAGGTATCGCGGGTGACTTTCAAGCGATCCGGAAATTCTGAGGGTCTTGACGAGTGCACCAAGCGAGCAGCTCGCAGAGAGGGTGAGCGAGAAGAGATGAAAATCGGCCACTTCGCGGGAGACAGCTGAGAGGGAGACGTCTCTGTAGAGAATCGTCCGTGCACAGGCGGCGAGGGCTCGGTTCCCAGCGAGGACACATGCATGGAGGGAGGCACGATCGTCTGCGAGGGTGTCCATGATCGTAAACAGGATGTCTAGAGGAGGAGAGGACATCTGAGGAATTGCGTCGCCACAGAGCAGATCGAAGAAGACGAAGGATGGTGGTGGTGGTGGTTGAGGACGAAGAGTTATCCCGCCGGCCAATGGCCTCCACTGTTAGGCGCTCCGAAGATCCCGGACTGCGCCGTGCGCGAGGGTTGCAGAGAGAAGGCAACGTCTGCGAGGATGTCCATGTTGAGATCAAGATATCCTGCAGCAATGTTGTTTGAGCCTGAGGCATTCGACTCGAGTTGAGGGTGGTGTCCACGTCCACGCGATATGGTCTAGGTATGAACATCGTATGAGAGGGGGGAGCGGGTGACCCCCGTGGGAACCGTCTGAGTTGCAATTTCTGGGCGAGAGCTGTCAAGAGGTGTCAGCGGACACTGAACGGGTGGCTGAGGCTCTGCGTCGACGAGAGCTCCATGGCTCACTGTGGGCTACATACCACGATAATAAAATGGTCTAGCTAGAACACTGTGTCCTCCAAACCAACCTATATTTTCCTGAGATTTTCCGCTGCGTAAAACGGCGGGTGAGGAAAGACGTCGAGACACTTTTTGGGGCGCGTCGTTCCCACGGGGGTCACCCGCACCCCCTCATAGGATAGTCCAGCCTCTATTCTAAAGAAACGACTGTCTTCCGCAGAATTAGAGTGCTGGTTTACGAGCCTAGATATGGTCGTCTCGGCGCTACAGCCCAAGCTCGAGCTCAGGTTGCATTTACCAGTCAACACATGCGTGAAAATCCGACATTGTCATTCTCTCGATCTAAAGTACGCGCATATCACAGACAAATGTTCGCCCTACATCAGGACGCAGAGACTGACCCGCGGTACACAACAGAATATGGATTCGTGCACAGAAGACATCGTCCGCACGCTCAGGCTCGCGCCATCAACATCCGAGCCGCTCTCAGACGGGAACCTCCCCGAGTCGACCTCCAGCACAACACCAGGAACACCCTCAAACGCCGCAAACGCCTCTCGCGCCCACGCAAATAGCTCGTCCCGCATCATGCACTCCCGCCGCAGGCTCTCCGCGCCTGGCCACGACCATCTTTCGAAATCCGCCGGCGGGTGCACGCGCACCGCTAACAGACTGAATCGCGGGTAGCGTGAGGCGTCGAGCAGGCTGCCCGCGAGGCGCGTGCAGCTCGCGCGGCTGAAGACTTCGGCGATGCTCGCGCAGTCGTACAGCTCGAATGCGAGGTGTGCGAGCGCTGGCAATGGCGGGATGTGGCGCTCGAGGAGCGTGCAGAGCGCGTCGAGGAGGTCGTCTGGGGGCGGCGCGTAGATGCGTGTGAGTGGGTTGATGTGGTAGATGACCGTGAGCGACTGGAGCGCGGTGCAGTGCGCTACGTGGTCGAGGACGTACGCGTGGACGGACTCTGCAAGGGAGGGGAGATGAGTTGTGAGCTGTACTCACGGAGTGTGGTATATTGTGACGCACCGAACCGTTCGATACCAGCGGGAACGGACGTGGTTGTGTCGTCCGGCGTTGGATCGACCACTGATATGCTGAGAGAACATAATGTGGCGCCCGCGGCGCGTATAATGGGAGCCCACCACAAAGTGCCTGAAGTAGACCCAAAGTCAAGGTCGAGGAGCTGTAAGCCGGCGATCGCCGCCGCATCATCCAGCAGCAGTCGGTCGGCCAGTACCGTATGGCTGTTCCAATACCCATTGTTGATGACGAGTGCCCTGAGGCTTGGGAATGGGCGTCGTTGCAAAGCGTTGAGCGTGATCGGCTCGACGGCATCGTCAGCGGCGCCTCCGTTGTTAGATGTGGCGTCTAGGAGGGTGTGGCAGACCAGGTCCTCAAGCTTCGGGAACATGGCGAGAACGGCGAGGAAGCTGTCCATGCTGTGCAGCAGGACTTGGTGTAAGATCAGCGTGCGTAGCTCCGAGAGGTGATGTAGCAAGGGTAGCTCAGGCGTGACGCATACGGGTCTTACTGGCGGAAGAGACCAGGGGACGACCCCAGTGCGCGGGTCGGAGATCTCGAGAGTCCGCACTCGAGGGCCAAGGGAGGGATTAGCAGCGAGGGTGCGCGAGAGCAGAGGTATTTCTACCCTCTGAAGGGAGAAGCCTGAGAGAAAAATGTGGCGGTAGAGAGACGTCCTGACGCAGGTGGCGAGAGCTCTCCCAGCGAGAGCGCATGCGCAGAGGGAGGCGGGATCGTCTTCGAGGGCCTCCATGATCAGATACAATATGTCCAGAGGAAGAGCGGCCCTTTCAGGCATCGTGGCGCCACAGGTTGAGAGGAAGAGGGCTCGGGATGGTCGAGGTCGAGGTCGAAGAGTTGTGCCGCAGCCGCCCATAAGTGCTGGCCAAGTATACCGTTGGGCGCTCCGAGGATCCCGCACTGCGCCGGGCGACAACTGCACATCGCGCCATCTTTCCCTCCGACTTCCTTGAGCCGCGTTGCGGGCTAGATGTATATTTCATGGGGACGGGGAAGCTGGGACCCGCGGTACGCAACCTCAGCATATGGCAGAATGCACGAGGGCGATTGTCAGCACGCCTACGAGAGCTAGATATGATTTGCATATCTGTCACCATTCGACCTGACCCCAGATGCCTTTAAGAAAAGTGTGAATGAGCAAAAGTGATGGACAGGAGGCAGGGACGTGGACGGCGAGCAACGGAAAGCACACGACTAACAAAGGTACTGTGTGCGGGGGTCTGCGAATAGAATAACACCAGAGGGAGATCTCGATACTGAAGAATACAAGCGAGACCAAGGCTGTCGATCTTCCGCATTGCTCGCTCGTTCTGTGGAGTGCCATTGTGAGAGCGAGATGGGCTACGGCAGGAAGCGCGAGCGTGGTACTCGTTCGGATCCGAGGCAGAGAGACCGCCCCGACGAGATGGCGGTGTTGTGCTGACGGAAACGTTGCGTGTGCGGAACATGGGCGCAGTCGAGGACCTGGCAGATGTCCGGAGGCAGAAAGAGACCATCGAGAGACTAGCTAGGCAGTGAGAGGGCCAACATCGGCACGAAGAACGCCAGGATGCACAGGAGACGGGCCGAAGAAGCGAAGGCGCGGTCTGAGAGCGACTGGTGGTGGTGGCATGGAGGAGAGAGGAGTCGGAGTGAGAGGAGCGTCGCACGCAACGATCTGTCAAAGCAGGTCGGTTTAGCAGCCCCATCTATCACTCACCGGACGCTACTACACACCGTCACCCGGCCTGCCCGACACCGGGGTATACACGCGCCATTCGCAGTGTGCAACGGGGAGAGCGAGGGGGTGCAGCTGGAGACGGCGCAAAGAGCGGTTGTGTTCGCGATGTGGACGAGGAGACGAGATCGGAGGAGGCCGTCCGAGGGAGAAGATCGCCAGGGGAGCGAGATAGACGCCGGCCGGAGCGCGGTGATCCGGGGACGGTGACCGCCGGCACACACACTCGACACCGCCTCCGATCACCCTCTCCTCCTCTTCTCTCAACTCGTCTGTCCTCTCTCTCCCTCCCACTCCGCCTCTCCCCCTCCGCCCTCCTCTGCTACCCTTCTCTGTCTGCTCGGGATGGCGACGCGCGTGTTCTGGAACAACACCGACCCCGATGACCCCCTCGCACGCGCCCTTCAGCCGCCCTTTGACGAATCCTTAGAGGAGCGCGCCGTGCGCATCCGTCAGCAGGAGGAGGCCGCACGCGTCTCGAAGGAGATAGACGAGGAGATTGCGGTCGCGCGCAAGGCCTATGAGCGCCGCAAGCGCGCGATCAAGATTCTGTTGCTTGGTGCGCACACTATGGCATGGCCTACTGGCGCATACACTCACCTCCAGCGCGTCGGACAGGCCAGGCAGAGTCGGGCAAGAGTACAACACTGAAGAGTGCGTCGAGTGTGCATCACATCAGCTCTGTACTGATGCTGCGTTGCAGACTTTCAGCTTCAGTTCTCGCCACAACACTTTGCAAAGGAACGCGCCGCTTGGAAGACTATCATCCAGCTCAATCTTATTCGGTGAGTTGTCACATTCGCTGCTCCCGGACGACGCACGCGCGTGTATGTGGCACAGTGTTTGTGATATCCGTGCGCTGCATCTACATCCACACTCCACCACGTCCACTCTCGTCGATCAGTACGAGTGCTATAGTGGGCATGCCCGTGAACATCGCGATCGACGCCCACACAAGCTACGTTCCGAAGCACCATCTTGCACGCGTGTAACTTGCATGGCACGCCCCATCCCCTATAGCTTACATTCGAGCTTCGATCAAGATATTCCGCATGATGTTTGTTGTTGCACATTTCGATACCTTCGACATGAGCAACATTCACGCGTCCACTGCATCCTAGGAGTGTGTACGAACCATGATGTCTGACACACGCTCTCTTCCAGGTGTATCAAACGACTGCTCGAGGCCCTCCAAGAAGAATGGGAGTCGTCCCTCCAGACTACGACTGCGTCCTCCATCGCGAAAGGTAAAGGCGTCGCTGGCCGCACGCCAACAACACCCGGCGTCCGTTTCTCGACCTCGCCGCTTAACGACCACCACCGGCGCATCCGAATGCGCCTCTCTGCGCTTCTCCCCATCGAGGACGAGCTCATGCGCAAGCTACTCCCTGATAACGTGACTGGGGGCCGCGACGTATGCGTGCGCGCAGGCAGCGGATGGAAGGGCGTGCTAGCCGCGCTCAGCTCGAACTCAAGTACACTCGACATTCCACGGAATCCGCAGCCCCCGCCGCTCGTGTCCGCGATGAAGGGCGCATCACGGCCAGGGACCGGGAACTCGCAGTTCAAGGACAAGGACAACCCGAGCGCGGTGCTCGCGGCGTGCAGGGACGACATTGTGACGTTGTGGGAGGACACAGTCGTGCAAGCGGTGCTCAAGAAGCAGAACGTGCGCTTGCAGGACATGCCTGGATTGTGCGTGCACCGCTCTCCGCACTGACGCCGTATACTCACTTGCGCAGCTTCCTGAACGATGCAGGGCGCGTCGCTGCGATTAATTACGAGCCAACAGACGGTAAGCTGGCGGAGTTCCTGTTGCGCACGCGTTGCTGATCTCATCGCAGACGACATCGTACGCGCGCGCGTGCGCACGCTCGGCGTCGAGGAGCACCAGTTCACGATGGAAAACGGTGCGCTATATCGTCCGGTCGCCATCTTTCGTGGCTGACCATCGTCACCACGCACAGGTGCTCTACCAGGCACAGAATGGTACATCTACGATGTCGGCGGGTCGCGCAGCGTCGTACGTATTTCCCTTCAAGATACCATCTGCCGACCGGTGCTGACTGTTCTATACAGCGTCAACACTGGATACCGTACTTTGATGATGTCCAGGCGATCATCTTCCTCGCGCCGCTGGCGTTCAACCTCACGCTCGAGGAAGACGCGAAGGTCAACCGGCTCGTGCGTACCAGTGTCTTCCTCGACCGGCCGCGGGCGCTGACAGATCGATCCAGGAGGACTCAATCGCGCTATGGCGCCAAGTCTGCCAGAACCCACTGCTATCGAAGACGACGCTAATCCTGTTCCTCAACAAGGTGAGTCAGCGGCCTTCGTACCCCGTCTCTGCACCCGTCCCGGGCCCGTTGCATCAGGTCGCAACCCCCGCGGACGGCGTTGACGGCTCTTCTCCTCGGGCGCGGGCGCGAGAAGGCCTGCATTCACGCCCGCCATTGACTCGCGCCTTGTTCTCGCCGCACGCGCAGGCAGATCAGGCGTCCCTTCGTGATGACGCATCCGCTGCGCTGTGATGATCCGTCGTTGGCGTTTTCCTGCCCTTGCCTTGTTTCCCCGGAACTGTTTTTGCGGCCCGATGACTAACGCGTGCTCTGCTTTTTTCTTCTGCGCTGTGTTCCCGCGGGCTCATCGGCGATTTGATGCGCGGTGCAGATGGACATCTTGCAGGCGACGCTCGCCGCGGGCATCCGGGTGGCGAAGTACGTTCCGAGCTATGGCGACCAGCCGAACGACGTTCAGCATGTCACGAAATGTACGCATGTCTCTCGTGCTCTTTCCGTTGCGGCTGCTTACTAGTTTGTGTAGACTTTCGCGATAAGTTTCGGGGATACCATGTACGTGCAACATCCGGTGCTCGAGCAAGCGCCCACTGACGTTCGATGGGTCTGCAGAAACGCCTCTCGCCAAAGCCACGTCCGTTCTTCTGGCACGAGACGTCGGTCATCGTACGTGCATCCACTACCCATACTGATAAGTCTCTCATCGCGCCCACCACAGGACACGCGCTCGACCGCAGCGATCCTCGTCGGCGGTGAGTGCTCACGTCCCTTCGCGCCTCGCTCTACGCCCCTCCTGCTGCCTATCACCGCCCCCCATCACCTTCTGCGTGCTTATGTGTGTCCCGGGATCATCGTGCTGACCAGATGCTTGTTTTCTTTTTCCGCGCGTTTTTTTTGCGTTCTGTCTCGCCACCGACACCGCATCTTTGCCACTGCGCATCGACGCGTCTTCGCATCTCGCCGGGGCCGCGCCACTAGTCCGCGAAGGCATCCTGCGCACGCATTTGCAGAGCGTCAACGTTATCTGAGCCCGCGGCGCCGAGTCCGCGTCCGCGTCGATGGCATGCGCTGCGAGAACGCCACCGCGCGTTCGGTGTCGTGGAGGGTGGGCGAGGTGGCCCGCGGCTCGGCGGAAGAAGGAGGCGACCCCCGGCGCGCTTCGACGGCGCACAGCATGTAGCGGAGGATAGAAGCGTCCATCCCGGAACCGACCCCACTCCGCTATTACGACACCTGGCTCCCCGGTACCCGGGACGCGCCGCGCGAGGCGGTGGACGCTGAACACGAACATGAACGAATGCTACTCGGGGGGCGCGGAGGGTGGACGGCGCGCCTGTTTGGAACGACCGCGGAACGGAAAGACGCTCTTGACGCATACCCCCCTTGCCCACCCTGGTACCCGCGCCCGCCGACACCCTACTATACCTCTGTCCCGTCTCCCATACCACCTCTTCCCCTGTTTTCTGCGTCCAGGTACGCCGGTCCGTGCGGGCGTTGTTGGCCCGAGTGTTAGATAGAGAATATTTGGCGCTTGTTGTACTGTTATGTATCTATGTATACTTGTATGCGCTCTTATAATATGGCCGTGGCTCAGGCTGTGGGAGGTGCTCCTTGTCGAGCTGCATGCCCTTGTACTTGCGATCTGCGAGTCGGAGGTTAGGTCGCTTGAGTGCTCGGCAGGCCTCGGGTGTAAGAGATATCACCGCCTTCTAGGAGGAATTGCGGACTCTCGAAACAATCGTAGCGCGATATGAGTACGGTCAGCATGCTAGCAGCTTTAGACACCATCCACACAGAAGGCAGAGCGCCGGGCGGAGGCGCGAACCAATGAGCGGCCACCAAACGCGTCGGTCACGGCGTGTGACGGGAATGACATCACGCGTTGGCGATCGGTGTATGGCGGCTGGCACGGGCCGCGAACGTCCCCACACTCTCCCACTCACGACGACGATCTCTACCTGCTCTCTTCTCTTCTCCCCTCCGTTCACTCTGCGTGCTGGACATCGCACACATGGCTTCCTCCTCCTCCCTCCCCCTCCCCCTCGCTGTTGCCGTTATCGAGGGCGCCGTCACCATCCGCGGCAGCCCCAAGCGTCCTATCCCGCCGCCGACCGCTCAGCCGCTGAGCGACAAGGCCCAGCAGCGTCTCATGCGCATGGCCGTCATCCAGGCCGAGCTCGAGGCGGAGGAGCGCGAGGCTCTTAAGATCACTGCTGTACGTTGCTCTTCTCTTCTTACGCGTTCCTCGTCTGATGTGCAGCGTCGGGCGTAGGAGGAGCTGCAGATCTTGCAGGACTCGGTCAAGTCGGTGAAGGCAGAGTTCGACGATCTTGACGGCCTCTCATGGGAGACTCCCGAGGCCCAGCAGATTCTGGATCAATGGGTACGTCCTCTCCTCTCAGCCGAACGTCCCGGCGGCGGAGAGATCTGTCCCGCGTTCCGACCCATGTTCCGCGTGTTCTGGTGGCTTGGTCGACTGAGGCGACCAGGAGTGTATCAATGTCGTAAGGTGTATGGAGTGTTTCCCGCTCCAACGTGAGTACTCAAGTGGCGGGCTCGCGCCTCAAGCTTCTTCAAGTGCATTTCAGCGACGCACGAGGGCACTTACCCCAGGGTTCCTCGACCCGTACGGTTTCGCCTGTCGTATCTTTGCCGCGCTACGTCACCCGGAACGCAGAAAATGTTCCGGAACAGGTTCCGCGGGACAGATCCCGCCCCCAGGACGTTCTCCCTCTTAGTCTGTGGCTGCATGCTCATGTTCCCCAGCACGCCGAACAGGCCGCGCGCTCTCGCGCACACTCTCTTAGCCACATTGGCGGCGTCCCCATGCGTCGCTCTAACGCACAATATATTCCCTCCACCTCCCCGCACAATCTACCCTCCCTATCCTTCTCCGCGGCGGCGAGCATGCCAGACCTTACGCCGATGCCATCCCCAGTCGACGAGTCCAACGAGGACACCATCCGTCTCTCCCTTTGCGTTGACTCCCGCCGAAGCTCCTCCGCGTCGACGATCATGCCCGACCGCGAGGACGCACGTACACCCCTCCCAAGCCTCTACGCGTCTCTGGAGAGCAAGGAAAACGACGCGCCCGCGCCCGCGGAGGACGTCCGCCCAGGCCTCCCCAAGTCGTACTCCGCTCCAGTCCTGACGACCTTCACCGATCCGTTCGCCAGCGCCGACGCGCCCCCACGTGCACACCCCGCACGCGCGACGAAGTCCCTCCCCCCGAGCCGCATCCCCGTCCGCAGCAAGTCGTTCTCCGCAAGACCCTCGCCCTCCTGGCACGCGATCGACGGTACACCCAGCACACGACACTCCTCGCTGCTCATTCGGCCCGTACGCGGTGCTCCGCGTGCCATCCTCGCGCCCTCGCTCACGGGTAACCTGCGCTCTCCCGCGAAACGCTCCTTCGCGGACGCGCTCTCCGCATCGCCGCGCCGCGTGCACCCACAAGTGCACCATCCGCTGCCGGTTCCTATCCCGGTGCCGCCGCGTTCCCCTGCGCGCACGCGCTTCCAGCTCCCGCAGGGGGAAGGGTCCCCGAGAAGCAAGTTCCGCATCATCAGCGCGCCGCCGATGCGCGAGGGCGTGCCGACGTTCCCGTCGCGGAACCGCGCCGTGTCGGCACGCGTCGCGTCTGGGTCGGGGCTCCAGCCTGTAGCGTCGGGATCGGGCTCCCCGGCGCGCACGCGGGCGGAGCACGGGTCGCCTGTGGCTTCTGGCAGCTCTCCGCATCGAGGTGCAGTTGTTGGTGGGCAGGGGCGTGCGGGCCCGGGTACGCCTGTGCGGATGACGAAGCGTCTACGCACGGGTGAGGTGGACGGAAATGAGGATGAGGATGGCCCGTCTGAGCCGCCTTCGCCTTCCCCGTCGAGGCGGCGGGGAGCTATGCTCGGCGGCGTCCCGATGCGTCGTACTTGAGGCTCGAGGTCCGTTCAAGTATGTTATCGCTACGTTATACCCTCCCCGCGCCCTGGGGGACAAGGACTTTCACGCTCCTTACGACTGTCCACGAGTACTATACGCTCCCTCTTGTCCTGTCTCGTCTCTTCTCTTGGTTTTGTTTGTCCTGTCCTGTCTCATCCTGTCGTGCTACACTACGCTACCACGCTCTGCTCTCGCGCACCCTACCATGTCTCTCTTCGGACTCGGAAGCTTAAGGCTGAACCCGGGCCCGCGCACGCATATGCTATACCAACCAAAGAACCCGTCCTGGAATGTAATGTACCGTATACCGTATATCGTAGTGCGTTATAGCCATACCTCAGCTAGCCCGTCAGATGTCAAATATGTGTGATCTCGCTGTCCAACTTGGTCGTCGGGGATGCCATGCCATACGCGCGGAGTAGTCCAGTATTCACGGAGCGCAACACGCTGTCCAACCGATGGTGGAATTCATGGAGCGTCGCGAGCGTTGCAAGCTCGACGCGGCCGCGCGTCAACTTCTCTCTCTCGCCCTCGACCATCACCACGCGCTCGTCATCCTCTGCTCACCTGCGGCGACACAATGGGCCAAATCGCTGCTCTCCCACTAGATATCTTGTACATGATTCTGGGCTTCTTCGCAGACAATCCCGCCACGCTTCGCGCATGGGCACTGGCCGGGAACTGAGTACTGGGCCCTCGCCGCTTGCGCACGCACTACTACATCGCTTCGAAGACTTGGAGTCCGGGCGCCTGAGGTCAGACACTGAAACATACACATACAAATAGTACCCGCCACAGCAACTCGACGTGTCTTTCTTGGCAAGGCCACTAACAACTTGACCACGACCTTTCATTCGTATGCCGTCTCTTCCTCAGGAGCCCCTCGACCTTATCGTCGACCATCTGCCAAGCGACGATTGGCGGGCATTCGCTGCGTGCGCCCAGGCTCACCCATCCTTGGCTCCTCGCGCTCGCAACTCAGCAGCTGTTTGTCATTGGAAGAGCTGCGGATCGACACCGTGGGTGTGGATCTCGCCGCTACCAGCCACCCTGCATCCACCACACACGCCGCCGCTTTCTCCTCTCCCCCGCGCCCCTGCTTCGCTCGACTGAAGACACTGTGCATACGGTGCTGCGATAGCGATCTATCCCGGGTCATGTCCCTCGCTTGCTTTCTCGCGTCAGAGCTCGCAAAGGAGAGCTCTGTTGCCCCAGTACAGTCGCTGAGCTTCCACCTCTATGCCCGTGCCCCGGCGACAACCTCCATAGCAAAGCGCCGCCTCATTGCTCGTTCGTCGGTAATACACAGTATGCACATGATGGACGCATGGCATGCACCCCTTCTGAACATGCGGGGGACGCTGACAGACATCAGCGCCACTGTGCCCGTTCCGCTCGACATCCTTCCCGACTGTGAGTCTGACTCTTGTTTTGTTTTCAGCTTGCACTCGCGCTTACCCTGAACGTCGCCGGTAGCTCATGACACAGTCAAGCGCTTGCCCGCCGCGATCATCCGCTGCAGCCATCTTCGCCGCCTGACGCTGCGCTACACACCGCTCGTAGACCGGCCAGCCGAACACGCGCCGTTCATGGCCTCCCTCCATAAGCTTCTCACCTATATCACCACACAAGGCCCGAGCGCGGACATGCTCCAGAAGCTCGAGGTGCTCACCGTGATCCTGCCGCACGCGGCCCCCGACGTGCCCTTGTACGAGGAGGAAATAGCACAGTTCGCGCGGGTTTTAGCCGAGGGCGCGTTTCCGGCCCTTGCGTGCGTGCGCGTTGGCGTGGAAGGCGCTTTGGACGACTCGGTGCAGGGTATGGTGGAGCAGACGGCCGCTGCGCTTCAGCCGCTCAGGGAGCGCGGGCTCGTAGTCGATGTTGCGGGGCTGCAGGAGGACGAGTGGGAGCCGTGGTGCTTGACTCGGACCACGGCATAGTCGCGATTTTCTATAAGACGGTAAGTACGATCGGCGGCCGTGTTATGCAAGGAAAGTACTCACTTCCTTGATCCAGACTTGAGATTTAGAGGGGGATTAGCACTGATGTTGCGGAGTTGCGGAAGGATGAGTGGGAGGCGTGGTCTATTGCTTCGCTGCTGGCGGCTGAAATTGACTCTGAGTCGAATTAGTTGTTAGTGCACCTAATGCAGCGCATGTTGTGTACTATAGTCTTCGTAAGATATAATGAATCCTGTTATCTGTAATATATAATGGGGAAAAACGGAAACAACGGACGAGTTGGACGCTGTTGGACGGGTAGTTATGCATGAGCGCTTGAGAAGGCCGGTCCGATACGCCGAAAGCCGAGTACAGCGCTCGCGCTCGACGAATACCGCTCTTGATCCTCGACCGCCACCACCGCCACCAATACCCTGGCTCTGCTCCAATTGACCAACAGCAGTCATGTCTGAGGCGAAATTCCTTCCGCTTGAGATCGTATACCAAATCGTAGACATCCTCGCTGACGACCCACCTACGCTTTGCGCATGTGCGCTCACTGGGAAAGCCTTGGTGGCCTGCGTGCAGACGAACCTCTACAAACATATCGCGCCCACTTTTTCCCATCAGTCGCAACAAGGAGCGCTCCTCTCGCGCACTCTGTCTTCCAACCCAACGCTCGGTACGCTCGTCCAGTCGCTCAAGATCTCCGAGCGGCTGTATAGGGAACAACCGCTTCTCACGCCAGAGTTGCTGCCATTCCACCACCTCTCCGAGCTGCGTGTTCTGACGTTATACCTCGTGGAGCTGTCTGGCGTTGACGGCATCTACGGTATTATTGCTGCGCTTCCGAAGCTTGAACGCCTCATCTGCGACTCGCTTTTGGACGCCACCTCATACGATCTCCCCGGGCCAACAAACGAGGCCACGGACCCCCGTTTCGAGTCGCATCCAGCCCAGTTCCCGACGCTCAAAGAGCTCGCCATGAAACATGGGCACTGGCGCCACGCAGAGCTCGCAGAACGCCTCCTGCTGCACCAGCCGAGCGCGGTCGCCAGCCTGGAAAGCCTAGACGTCTCCTTCGGGTGCTCCGGAGAGGCCCTCGCATGGGTGCCAGTTGTGCGCGCGGCGGGCGCGCACCTCCGCTCTCTAAGCCTATCAATGGCAGACCAATCCCCGCGGCTCGGTCAGATGCCGTCGCACACCATTAGCGAACAGTACGGTGCGTAATCACGCTCTCCACGTTTCGTGGCACACAACTGAACAGCAACAGCATCCGACCACGCGTATGTCCTTGACAACATCGCCCACTGCCCCGGCCTCCAGTCGCTCTGCCTCAAATACAACCCCGATCCATTCGCCCTCGTTTATATCCCACGCCCCCACGACCTCCTCAACACGCTCTGCGACACGCTCGAGCGCCACCCTCCACCATGGCCTGCGCTGGAAGCCCTCACGCTCTGGGCACCTGACCGCGACGGCCAGATGTCCGCCGTCAGCCCCCCGCTCTGCGAACGCCTGGCCGCAGTCCTGCTGGACACCGTGCGCTACCCGCGCTTCTGCAGGCTCACGATACGTGTGGGCCCACAAGTCTGGATGTCCGGGCTGCAGATGTGGTCCTCGCTCGCGGGTCCTGGGGCGCGCGTCGAGCGCGGAGCGGTGGTCGAGCGGTGGTGCGCGGCGTTTGCGGCGTTTGGGCGCGCGCCGGGCGTCGTGCTCGATGTCGACACGATGCACTCGCCGCGGGCGCCGTGAAGGAGGTGACTGGTATACCCGATATCTATACAGCTGTGCATCTTGGATCGTCTGCCTCGAGGGCCAATGGAGCGCCAGATATGGGAACACATGTACAAATAACACGCGCCACAGCGACTTCCGGTCTTTGATGTGGCCTAGCCATCAACTCGACCACGACCTCCAATGGGTACTCTACCGCCAGAACTCGTCGACCTCATCATCGACGCACTCCGCGACGACTGGCGTGCCCTTGCCGCGTGCGCCCACGTCGACCAAGAATGGGCACCTCGTGCTCGCAGTCATCTACGACAGGGCGCCGTCATTTCGATCGATTCGGCAGACTGCCCGGACCTCAACGATTTCCCGCGCATTATTCACCCTTCGTCCACTCTCGCGGAAGACATCTCTGTACTATCTATTTGCGGACGATCTCAACCATCGATATTCGACTTGCTTCTCATACCCATTCCCGAGACACTCGTCCTTGGCCATCTTCCCCACCTGCGCTCGCTTATACTCCGCTCTTTCCGCGTGTCTGACGCCGGCCCGCTCATATCAACCCTCAGAAGCTGCAAATCACTCGAAGAATTGCATATCGAACACATCGGCGCTGAACCCACCGCTATTAGCGACCTCGAATCAAATGTACTAGAACTCGCCGAACTCGAGATCCCATCGTCCTCATTCCTCGTTCGGCTGAAGACGCTTTGCATGCGGGACTGCGACAGCGTACTATCCGAGACCCTGCTCCTCCCCCTCGCGCTCTCGTTTATACACGCTACCGGGAGCCTCCCTTCTACAGCGCAATCGTTGACCCTCCGCATACGTGGCCCTCAGACATCGCACGAACCCATCGTATACACACGGGAAATATCCGCAGACGTGATCGGCACTACCGTGCCCATCCCTTTCGCCGCCTTGCGAGACCGTATGTTGCTCGCATTTGTCGTCACTTTGGCTCGCATTGACGCTCTTTCTAATCGTCCTCGTAGATACCGACTTTGACCTTCTATGCATGGCGATTCGACGCTGCCACCACATACGTCGCCTTGTCCTACGCTACGAGCCGGGCCCTGCCACGCATCAGACCGGAAACGCAGAGTTCCTGATGATTTTCAACAGGACCACTTACGCCGTCTCCTTCGGGAGCGCGTGGGATGGCGCGTTCCAGGAGGTCGAGGTGCTCACGCTCGTTCTGCCGCACGAGGAGCCCGCGTGGGAGCAAGAGCTAGAGCGGTTCGCGTGGAGGGTGAACGTTCAACGGCGCACGTTTCCTGCGCTTGGTCGGGTGCATGTCGGCATGGAGTGCGAGGATGGTGTGGAGGCGGAGGAAGGGGTACGGAGGATAGAGGCTGCGCTGCAGCCGCTGAGGGACGGTGGGATCAGTGTGGATGTTGTGGCGTTGCGGACGGATGAGTGGGAATCGTGGGCAGTATCGCTTCCGTGAGACGCGTAGTACCATGGCTCAGCACCACGACCTCGGATGCGTACTCTACCACAAGAGCTCGTCGACTTCGTCATCAGCTCCCTCGGTGACGACTAGCGCGCACTCGCAGCATGCACCTATGTCCATTCCTTGCGCCCACAGTCATCTACGTTGCGGCAACGTCCTTGCAGTCGAAGATGTCGGGGGCGAAGTCGTGAGCATGTACATAAGTTGGGAGAGGTGTAATACGAAGTCGCGCCGCGCGTCGGAAAGCACCACTCGATCGATGAATGTGGAAGACTAAATCTCCCCCGCGAGTAGCTCACCGAAGTAAGCACTCGCCGAGATGCTTCGAGACACAGCGCGTTCACCCGGCCCGCAATAGGAAGTTGTCCTTGAAGGTCGGGTGCGGCGGAGCTTCCGCAGAGCGCACTGGTCCTTCATCAACGTGCCAGTGTTGACGTTTCGCCGGGGCTCGGGAGCTGCACATGCGCGGCGCCGAGTGCATCGCACGGCGCGGGATGAGTCGTGGTGTTCACATTCGCTCGTAGACCCCCTGCCAGTCGCGAAGGCCGCTTGCACACTTCGAGTGCAAGCCAGCCCCTCCAGCGTGGCGTCATGCAGTACAGCTGAATGCGTATGGACGCTCAGGCTGCTGCATCGTTGCCCCAGCGCGGATTCGGGACAGAGGGCGTTCAGAGCCGCAGGGTGGCTGTGGAGGCAAGTTCGGGGCTCGAGCGCTCTGCGGAGGTCGTGGGGCGTCCGGGTTGCGCTTGTGTGTAGCCCCGAGTTGCAGCTCACCGCGGAGCACATTCGGACGCGGCGGGGTCGCTGCGAAATCGGGAAATAGAGAGCGGGAGAGTCCGAGACCCAGGAACTAGCTGCGGGCCCCCAGTTCAGCCCCGGTCTGCTCGCAGACGTCCTGGGGCGCCGAAATCGCGAGGGTGTCGTCTTGGGCGACGTGCCGTACTTGTGGGTTTGTAGGAGCCTCGCCGTGTCGTCGCGAAGTTGCGCAATCACGAACATGAGGCCTTAGGCGGGTTGCGCGTTGCGAGGGCCGTGGGGCACCGAAATCGCGCATGTCCAAAAATCAAAGTTGTGTCGTGCTTGTGGTGCTGATCGGAATCGGCTTTGCCGCCGTGCCGTCGTAAAATCGGGTTACGACGGGCGACGTCGAGGTCAGGGTTAGGGGCAGTGAGCGTCGACAAAGGATGGGGGCGCGACACTGAGAGGTATCGTGCGCGGGGAAGAATGGCGGGAAACAGGTGGCCGGCGGCAAGGAGGAAAGAGGCGAGGCGGACTGGGACTGCGTCGCGTCCGTCTCGGACCTCGACCACGCTACACGCTTGCCAGAGCCCCCATTCAACGGCACGGCGACGGTGCGCGGTAAGAAGGGCGACGACGTTCAGGCCGCCACTGAGCTTGAGCGCGTTGAGGGTGAACGAGCTGAATAGCCAGGCAATGATGTCATGTGTTATGTAGATACGCGAGAAATTTCCGTCTCCGAGGTCCGCGAGCTCCCGTCGGCGGTGCGCGCAAGATGTCGGGGCGGCCTGGGTTGCTTCCGTCTCTGACTGGGGTCGACCATGACACGGCTCAGCGCGACAGTGGCGGAGAGAAACAGGCGATAAAGGCGGAGGTCCTCGAGTGCGTGTCCCTGGTCAGGGGCGTCGGTGCCGGGCTGCGGTGGGTCGGCGTAGCCCATATAAGACGTGGGATACGTAACGCGGGGCGGCCCCGATTCCGCGTCGACCATGCTGATATATGCCATAATAGCATAAATGTCCGGGCAGGCGTCACTCACAACAGCTTCTCGAACCAATCATCTTCGGTCAGGTCCTCCGCACAATGCTTCGCCTATAACATAATGTGAATTTCTCAACGAGGACGGTGATCGTGATAGACGTGCCACATACCCAGTGAGCTAGCAGTGCAGCCATTCGATCCACGCTCTCCTCATCAACCCACCTCCTGTCACCGCTGCTCTGGATCACAACATCCTGTCGAGCCGACTCCCAGTACCGCCCACCGAGAAAGCTGGTGTCCAACTCGAGGAGCAGGAAGATCCAACTTGTTCCATTTGTCAAGGCTCCTCGGATATAGGTCGACCTATCGCGCGATTACTGTCCTGCACGCGACGGAAGAGCGCAAAGTAAGGAAACGCACTTCAGCCGTCTTGCACATGCTTGCATCTCGACCACTGCTTGAGGGACATGTGTGCCGAGCATGTGGGAATCCCCCTTCGCTTCTGCCACAAAAAGACCAGGCACCGCTTGAGCTTTGTTTCTCAAGGCAGATTCGAGATTTACTGCATCCAGCATTCTCGCTGTGGTGGCACACATGGTCAGCAGCACGCGTATCTAGCGCTGTCGTGGGGCGGATACGTACGAGCGGCACGCTTGTCGACGAAGAAGAGAACGTAATTGACATGAGCGCCGATTGCGATGGTGGGGGGTGTTGTCGTGATAACCTCTGGAGCAGCAAAAACTTCGAGCCCGATGACGAGCTGCTTGTCAGTTTGGATCATTGCTGTGATTCGGAACAAGAAGCTCTCGATCCATAGGCGTGCGCTGGCATGATGCATGGTATGTTGCAAGAGGAAGTCTAGCTTAGTATGCAGGTTTTGAGCGGACATGAGGTGCTCGGCGCCAGCAGCGTTCTCCTGTGCGATCCTCTCTCGTATGGCAAGCGTAGAGGGGTCCTTTGCAGAGAGATCACCGGCGTAGACGATGTCAGCCCGAGCTAGGATCTTGGTGTCGATCGATGAGAAGCCGATGCCGTGGCTCACTGTGAGCTGACAGATGAGAAAGAGAAAGTGGGTGCTTGCCTTGGTCGCCGACAGTCTGCGCTCCATGAGCGAGACGAAGGTGTCCACGGCGTCGAGATCGAACCCATCGTCCGTCGCTGCATCCGGGCTCGCGTCGGCCTCCTCGTCGAGTTTGGCCCTCCAGTGCTTAACGAAATGCAGCGCGGTAGCTAGCTCCTGGGAGTCGAGACCGGGCATTGAGCGAGGAGGACTGAGGAGGGGGTGAGTGACGCGTGAGTGCGACGCGTTATGACGCGTCTGTGACTCTCTGTGACACACGCGTCAAGTTTCGGTCTGCGGCCACGCGCGTCTCTCTGTCTCCTCCCACCTCGACGCGTCCCCCGCCACTTGTCTGTCACCATGCTCGAAGCAAAACTGAACGAAGCCGCGCTCCTCAAGCGTCTCCTAGACGGTGAGTGCTCTTCTCTCCTGGCCGTGGGTGGAGCTGACTAGGGTGCAGCGGTGAAGGAGCTCGTGACGGACGCCAACTTTGACTGCAACGAAGAGGGCATCGTAAGTCTCTTCCGCTCCTCTCCTTTCCTTTCCACGCGTCTTTTCCTCGGAGCGTGCCCCGTCTCGTCAACGAACTGGTCGGCGGCGCGTCTGGGCGGCCACGATGGCCACCTTACTCTTCTGTCCACGTCCACCGCCATACATCGACTCTCGACGGCTCGCTCGCGCGGCGTCATGTAGCGGTGTTGAAGCGCGCAGGATGCGGACGCGTACGAGTGGACAGAGGCCAGTGCGAGGTGTGTCGTACGCGCACATTGCTTGGAGAACGGGTACCGCAGGCTCAGCCGCAGCCCGCCAACCACTAGAGCCACCTCCCGTGTCGTTGCAGGCTCTCCGACTCAGAGCACCGTGCCCAGGCCTCGTTCACTCAAGAGAGCCCAGCGGATCGCGTCGTGCGCGTCCGTTTTCGCACGCACTACTCACCCATCCGCACACTTGCGTTCGCATACTGACCACTCCCACAGACACTCCAGGCGATGGACAACTCCCACGTCGCCCTCGTCGCCGTCAAGCTCAAGGCAGACGGCTTCCAAAAGTACCGCTGCGACCGCCCCATCCCGCTCGGCGTGAACGTCGGGTCGCTCACAAAGGTCCTCAAGTGCGCCAAGGACGACGACATCTGCACGCTCAAGGCCGCCGACGACGCCGACATCCTCTCCCTCACCTACCAGGCCAAGAGTGCGTCCGCTCCTCTCGTGTGTGTGTGCGGGCACGTGTGCTGACCCCGTGCAGACGCGGACCGGATCGCAGAGTACGAGATGAAGCTGATGGACATCGACGCGGACACGCTCGGGATCCCGGATACCGAGTACGACGTGTCCGTGACGATGCCGTCGGGCGAGTTCGCGCGCATCGTGCGCGACCTGTCGCTCCTCGGCGAGTCCGTGCGCATCGAGGTGTCCAAGGAGGGCATCCGGTTCGTGTCCGACGGCGAGGCGGCGAACGGGAACATCCTCATGAAGCAGACTGCGGAGGCGCCGAAGAAGGGCAAGAAGGGCTCGAGCTCGAAGCGGAAGGGCAGCGACGACGAGGACGACGAGGACGAGGAGAAGCCGGACCCTGAAGACGAGGAGGGCGCGGCGGGGAGCGACGGCGAGGGCGGGTGCGTGTGCATGGCAGCGGGCGGGGCGGTAGCACGGTACATAGACACGAAATATATCTTGTTCGCAATGACCGACGGCTGCGAGAGATGCGCGTGCGCGGGGGTTACAGAACTTGGTGGCGGTGGCGGCAGGAGGGCGGCGGGCCGGGCGGGGTGGGTGCAGGCAAGAACTGCCGCGGGGGGATTGAGGGACTCTGTGTCGAGAGTGGGTACAAGTGTGTGTCGAGAGTGGGTACAAGTGGGTACCTAGGACGGTGGGGTGGGAGGGGGACTCAGGGGGAGCACCGGACGCGAAGTTCGCAAATCGCACTTTCGCCGTGCAAATACCGTTGTATTCGGTCGTAGCATACTCGTACTATACAGGGTGCAAGTCGCAGGGCGGGGCGACGAAAACTACAGGCTACAGAACCGAACCAAGTCCCCGGGGTGCCCCCCACTCGAACGCCTCCAGGGAGCTCCAGGTGCGTCCAAAACGCGCGAGACAACGTGCGCCGTATCGTACCGCACAGGGGGGACCGTGTCCACGCCGCGTCGTCGCGCACATCACGCAGAATTCGCGCAGAGGCCGCCGGACACCCCAGGGGAGCCAAGCCCAGCCGGCCTCTCCCCTCGCGCGCCTCCCAGGCGTCCTGGCGCGTCGAGACCGCGCGAGGACGTAGCCCTGCGTCACCCGAGTCCGTAGAGCCCGTCAGCACGTGGACGCGTCGTCGCGCCGTCGCCGAATCGAGCAGGGGAGAGTGGATGTCCCGGGCAGTCGAGTTCTGTCCTCCTGGGCGTCGCAGTCGTCGTAGGGCGCCGGCATCGCGCACGCGCAGGGCGTAGAGTCCAGGCGTGCATGTGGAGGTGGCGTAATCCGCTCGCGCCGTCGGGGAATCGCAGAATGGAGCAGGGAGACTCGGCTGCCCGGGGACTGGCTGAGAGCACTGTTTCCAGCCCTCCAGGGCGCCGCAGTGGTCCAATCGCTGCGAAGCCGCGCACGCAAGGACCGTAGACTTTGGCGGTTTGATAGAGCCCACTTTGACGTACCGGCGTCGCGGTGCTGTCGCGCAGTCGCGATCGGGAGAGTTGGTCACCTTGAGACTGGCTGTGAGAGCCATGTCCAGCCTCGGGCCGGCGGTAGACGTCGTGGGCCGCCGAGAGTGCGCGTGTAGGACCTTCTGTACCTTGTGACACCGGTCGCGTCTTCGAAACGCGTCCGCAGCGCCGCGTTCTGGCGAAATCCAGAGGGAGGGCGGTGGGAGCGAACTCCGAACTTTGCGAGCCTCGCAGAGGTCCTAAGGCGTCGATATCGCGCACGTGGGTTCCTCGGCGTCGTATCGTACGCGTGGGATCGCCGGAACGCGGCTGCGTTGTCGTGTTGTTGCAGGATCGCGAGGGAGAGCGTCAAGGGGCTGGGAGATGGCCATCAGAGTAGGGGACAGCCCCGGGCCGGCGGCAGACGTCCCAGGGCGTGCCAGAATCGCTTACACGGGGCCTGTAGCGTCGTACCGTACTGGTGGGGCCATCGGACAATGGCTGTGTCGTTTCGGACGGACGAAATCGCGATCGGGAGAGGCAGGGGCCCGGGGACTGGCTGAGGGCGCTGATGTCAGCCCTCCAAGGCGTCACAGTGGTCCAATCGTCCCAGAAACGGACGCACGAGGAGCGTTGACTTTGTGTAACTGACAGAGCCCGCTTGGACGTACCTGCGTGCCGGCGTTGTTGCGCAGTCGGGATCAGGGGAGTCGGGGGTGCCGGGACTAGCTGTGGGAGCCAAGTCCAGCCCCGGGCCGGCGGCAGACGTCCCAGGCCTTCGAAATCGCGCAGGCGGTGGCTTGAACATCGTATGACTCACGCAAGATCGTTGACATGCGGCGGTGTCGCGGCGTCCTCGACGAATCGAGAGCAGGAGGTCGGTGAGTCGCCCAGAGCAGCCTGCAAGTACATACAAGGCGTCGAGAAGATCGTAGGGCGCCGGGATCGTGCGCGTTGTGCATGAGAGCTCGCCTAGTACCCATAGAACAGGAGAGACCCAGCAGAGCGGCCGCGTCGTTGCGAAATCGAGCAGGAAAGACTTGGGGGCCCGGGGAATGACTGTGAGAGCCCAGTCCACCGCCGGGCCTGGCGCAGGAGCCGAGACACGCCGAAATCGCAAGAGTGGAAAGCGCGAGGTCGTACAGTAAACATGAGAGTGTCAAACTGTGGCTGCGCCATCGAGAGGTCGCAAAATCGAGTGGGAGGGCGTCGAGTTCTCCCCGGGGGGCCAAATCTAGCCAGGCGGACTTTGTGCCGCTGCCAGGCGTGTTAGGAGGCTCACAACGCGGAAATAGTGTGCGTCGTACCTTATAAATGGCCCCAGAATGGCGTACCTGCAATGCCGGAGCTGTACGCGCACTGGGAGGCCGTCGCGCAGCCGTACAAGTGGAGGCGGGAGGTACACGCAGACAAGCGCCCGCCCGCCGCCCACAACTCGTCCAAGCCTGCCGTGCTTCTCTCTCTCGCACCGCCACCTCCTCGCCTCCTCTCCCCCGGCTCGCCTGTACCTCGCGGTCTCGCCCCGCCCCTCGCCTGATTCTGGCTCACGGCTCGGCAACTTCTCGGTGTCTGGCCCGCTGATAGGACTTGCTCGCTGGGCTCGATGTCTTGCTGGCTGTGCTGGGCGAGTTACTGGCTGCGCGGGAGGTCTTGCTGGCTGTGCCTCGACGACGTACGAGAAGATTCCTGTGCCCGCCCGACTCGATTGGCTGTCGATGCCCCACCAGGTAAGTGGCTTCTTCTGGCGGTTCCGGCGCTCGAGCACTGGCTGCGAGTCGTCCGAGAAGGCCGTGTCAGCGGCTGTACACCGGCTGTTCCCGCGCCCTCGATGCTCGTCGTGTACGGCCGCAACATCTTGTCGCCGCCGGGTGCTGGCTGCGCGTCGACGCCGCGCACTGATGCTGCTGAAAGACTGGCAGGTGAGTGAAGAGTCCGCGAACAGAACACAGGTGAGTGCTGACTTGCGTACCGCCCCGCGCACCCTCCTCAGCGCCCGCGGCCACGTGTTGGTGGCTGCCGCGACGCGACGCGTCGCGAGACGAGCGACGGCTGCCCAGGTAAGTCGCGAGAGGTAGGTCGATGCTCAGAGCGAGTGCTTACGTCGATACGAGCTCCCACGCGCCAGCACAATGCCCACGCGCGCGCCCATCCGCCAAGTCGCCCTCCGCGCCCTCGCCCGTGCCTGCCGCGGCCCTCGACTGCCCGCGCCCGCGCCTTCCGCGCCCTTCCATCTCCGTGTCGTCTGGACATGTGTAGGTGAGTACTAGGGGTCGTTTAGAACCCTCGCAGCGCGTGCTCACCTTCATAGGGCTTCTCCTCTCGCCCCCGGCCACCTGCGGCCTTCGACGCGCTCCCAGTGCGTGTCCCGGCTGCGAGACGCCCTCTGACGGCCCCAGATGCGTCCCTGCGTGCGCAGGACGTCGTTCTTCGTGTTAGCGCTGTCGACGCGCAGCAAGGTGAGTAATTTTGCCAATGTCGATGCTGTTGTGGGCTTGCTGACCTTGTGGCATCTCCAACATGATCTCGGACACCCTGCGGCTGCGACGTCGCCTCAGGCGTCGCCCTCCGCCTCCTACGCCCTCCACCACGCCCTTCCGCCGTCCTCGAGCTCACCCACAACCGTGGCCCATCCTCGCCACGTTGTGAAGATGGCGCCCTCGACGCCCTTCTGCCACCCGCGACACCGTCCTGCTGCCCAGCCTCCATCCTCTACACCGCAACCTCCGCCACGTCGCCTGTGATGCATCACGGCAACGCCATCGGCCTAGCCACATGGGCACGCCCATGCCGCCCTCCTCACGCCGTCCCGCCGTGTCGACGCCCGCGCCGAGCCTGCGTTGCACGCGGCCGGGATCGAGCACCGCCAAATACAGGCATTGCCGAACGCGTCTTCGCGCGGTGCACGAGCCTGGGATTAGGGGTGTTTCGTAGTTGCCTGCAGACACGTCGGAGGCGAGGGTGGAGGAGAGGACGAGCTCAAGCAGGGATTGTCGAGCAGGGCGGGGCGCGAGCCTGGCCCGCTGCAATGGGGAGGGCGGGGGAGAGGGCGGCGGCGTGGACGAGGCGAGAGGTGCGTGGTGCGGATAGCAGGGAGAGGGGGATGGGGAAGAGTGGCAGCCGAGGTGCGGGCACCTCGGGCGGGGTGTATACACGTAGCAAACAAATAAAGCGGATCATTTGTTAGCCTAGTGCCGTTTACTGTTCCAGGGTAACGCACATCCTGGCGCCTGCCACAGCCCACTTCGCCCGCCACCCCTTCGCTTATTCCCTCTCCGCCCACCCGCAGCAGACACCCCGAAAGGAGTGGGCACCGAAATCCCATCCCCGGATGTGTCGTGCAGCCCTGAGCCTGCTGCCGTCGGCGGCACCGAGTGAGTTGAGTGCGCGGCGGCAGGGTTTGCCGCTGTTGCCAGAAGAAACTGCTGATGGGTTTACCCAATATCAGCGAGTCGAGATCGAGAGCTTCGTGGGCGGAAGCGAGATCGAGGGCGGAATTTGCATCGTGCGGAAAGACATCTGCAGCAACGTCAGGGTCGATCTAGGAGCATTGCCCGATATGGCGCACGGTGTGGTTCGCGAAGCGCCTATTCTGCGCGAAGACCCGCCGCCGCCGTATTTGACTCTCTCCTTCTCCCTGTCGCGGGCCTCTATGTGCTTGTTAATTACCGCTGCAGTCCTACTAGTAGAAGCTAATCTGAGGGATACGAAGTGCATCTTGAACGAGCTCAGCGCAATGGGCTTCTTGCACGTCCGCCGGCTCTGCACTCATTGGCTTCTCCTCCGCCACACGGACTGCCCATCCGCCCTGAACACGAGATTCAAATCGAATCTCAATCGTCCAGGGAACCTCGGTGCGAGCCTCTTCACATCATCGGGTGCTTTTCTGCCCTACACGCTTCGCTGCCCGCCTGTGCTTCAGAATTTGCAAGCACGATCGTTCGCACACGGCTGCGGTGTGCGAACGATAACTCCGCCGAGGTGGCCGATTCGGAATTCGCAGACGCGCACTAGAAGTAAGTGTCCGACGTGCCGTGTTGTACGTGGACGGAGCCTGCCAACGCTTTAAATTGCAGGGCACCACAACCCCCAGAAAGTGGCAGGCTTGCACGGCTCGGTGCGGGAGCAGTAAAAAATGAAATGTTCGCAAATACTAACCCCTCGGGATCTTGGTACAGGTGCATGCATTCCCCGAATCGCTGTGATTGACTAATCTGCGCGCAGATCAGATGCAGGGCTATGAAGAAGCTGGCCACGCCTTTCGGAACAGCAGAAGCGAGCTCAATGCTCCGCCGCCTGTACCAGCTTCACGACACCGAGGCACTAATTTTGGCACTCGATCTTGGAGACTGCGCGAGGCCCAAACGACGCGATTGGTGCGCGTGAGGACACTGTCCCGTGGCCAACTTATAAACAGACTTCATAGCAGGTACATGTCTGCATTGGTCTAGAATGTACCCTGGCACACAGGGTTGTGTGCTACAATTTCACGAGCCGCCTCTCACAAGTTCGCGTTCCTCCACGGCCGCCTGGAGATCGTTATGCACGATTGACATGCATTGCGCAGGCCCGGCCGCCTATTCCGATGTCAAATCTTAAACTCGGATCGCCTGTGCGTGCGGTTTGAAAGCGCCCTCTTGATCGGTTCCTAACGTAACTGTACAGGCCTCAGCATGAGTGCATTGGATGAGACACCCGGTGTAGACGAGGGTGGACACGAAATGGAGATGGATTGAACATGCACATTAATTAGACTAGTATGTACATGTAGACACGGGCATGGACAACTTGCACAGAGCACGGATGGCTGCCCCGTGGCCGTACAACCATCCCGCAAGTGAGGCCACGGTGGGCAGCGTGCCGGATAGCCCAGATCACCCAGAAGCGAAGGAGACGGCGGAGGAGCGGGTCCACGCAGGACTTCGCCCACACTCCCGCCGCTTGGCGGCCGCAAGAAGCACACCGCTATCCCGAACAGGTCTCGTTTTATGTGATGGCTCGTTTCCCGCTGCCCGAATCGGGCAGGAACTTACGCGCACGAAGGAGACGTGTTCGGGATAGCGGCATGCTGATGTGCTGCAAATATCAGGGTCCAGAACATGTACGCAGCATCGGGAGCATGTCCCAGCCGGTCTTGTCTCGATACGCGAGAATGCAGCACCCGTGCACGCCGCGCCGAACAATGGGAGTTCTGCCGCCAATCCAAGGTGTTCCTGTGCAAGACAATGTAGGTAGCCGAGGGAATGCGCGCCGCGCCGTGGACCAGCAATCCCGCACTTACCTTGTGAGTATCCGCCGGAGTGGGGACTTGCTTTGACAGTGCCCGGCGCAGCACACAGCCTGCGGGAGAGTCGTCCCGCCGTCGTACAACTGTGAGGGCGGGTCCAGTGGCGGAGGACATGGTGGGGTGCTCGGGACGAAGGCGGGAGGCGGGTATCCACCCGGAGTGGTGGGCCGAGGCATGTACGTACTTGGTGCGCCGCGGTCGAACGCGGCCCTGCTTCGGGGCCATCTTCGCGTCGTTGCGCGGTGTGCCGCATCGGCTGCTGTCCCCGCTCGGACCTCATATCCGCCGCGAGGGCGAGTTGGGCCTGCTGCAAATGAGTGAGTCTCCTGCATCGAGCCCCGGATTCCTGACGCACCTGTGGTCAAATGGCTTCAAATGCGTCGTCGAGCGAGTCGGAGGATGGCGCAGCGGGTTCGGTACGCGGAAGGGTGGGGACGTGCGGAGGGAGCCCGCCGCGGATGCGAGAGGCGCGGACCCCAGATCCAGCGAGTTCGCGCATCAGTGAGTGCGGAGCGAGGAATATTGGGTGTTTGCACCCGATTTGCACGTCCAGCCCACCCTGATCCCGTTCGTTCGCCGCATGGTGATATCCGTTACCTCGTCGCGAGTACGGCAAGCTGTTCCCCTGGAGCCTAGATGGCGGGGCACCTGTACGTATACGGAGCTTCGCATCGAGGCCGCTTCTCGTGCTACGGCGTCGGTATGCTCAAGAACGCGTACCTGCGCAATCCGTAACGGGGATGCGAGTGGACACGCATCCAAGTCGTCGCGTACAGCCAGCCTGCTCCCTCTCTGTGGATAGACGAAGAAGGTCACGGTACGAGCTGCAACGCACACGAAAGAAATGGTCAGTGAGTGCACAGACAGCTCGTGCATGCATGCGCACTTCGTCGCAGCCCAGCTCGGGCTCTCTGTGGGTCCTGCCAGCTCCCGATCCCGGCCGCCATCTGTACGCAAGAGGCTAGAAGCGTACAGAAGGCAGTGCACGCCGTACGACACTGGCACATTGTCAGTATGAGGCGAGGCGGCGAAATGATCACACTCATTTCCCGAGAACGCGGGATTCGAAGGGCCCTCCGGGTTGCCATAGACGGCCACGAGAGGGCGCGCAACACTGCACGAGTGTCTGCCAAGGTTCGACGCATGCGATGCGCCGCGAACGCAGCACAGGACGCACAGAATGCGGGACGACACCCAGAACGTATGCGGCCGCCGCTCTTGCTCTGGGCAGACGGGTCACCAAGGTCTGTACGTACACGATCCTCCGCGGCCAAATTCCGACCGCGCTTCGGGCCCATCTACTCGTTGCGCCACGACGTCGGCTATCCCGCGCGGACGTCTCCGCTTGGGGCCCGTATCCGCCGCTCCGCAGCGCGAGGGCACGAGTTGGGTGTGCTGCAAGTGGACAGTGAGTGCCCTGCACATATCGAGCTTGTGCCCGACGCACCTTTGTGCTTGTGGCAGGCCGCAAGTGCCTCGTTGCTCGTTGTGGAAGTCGGTGAGCGGGCGGGCGGGCTCGATACGCGAGAGACGTGCGGGGGAGCGGGAGCACCCGCACCCTCTGCCGATGCGGGACGCGCAGACCCCAATCGCGCCTGATGCGGCGGGTTATTGGCGTGAGCACGTCCGGTGCGAAGTCCGTGGGGCGGAGGGTAAGCGGGCGCAGCCGCGTTGCTGGGAGACGTTCCGTAAGCGGTGTTGGCCCGTATATAAACTGTGCACGAACCGCACCTCCGTCCCCATCCCTTCGTCCTCGTCTTCCGCCTCTCCTCAGCGCCCTCGTGCTTTTCCCTGTGCGCCGCCTGTCCCGAGCTGTCTACGCTGTCAGCGGGGTGCAGGAACAGGCTACGCCTTGCCGGTGAGGCCGCCGCTTCGGTGAGACTACGTGTGTACTCGACGCCGCCTTCTAACGAGCTCTGACAGACACACGGCGGTCAGCACGTGCTGGAGACATCGGGACGAGGGCGAGGTACGTACGCACTTGTTCCCCGTCGTGCACGTGCTCCCGCTGACGGGTTCTCGCTTGCAGCCGGCCGCGGTCGGCATCGCGGCGTCTGTAGCTGTGGTGAGTCCGCATCCAGGGCCCCTGTGCACGTCTAACGAGATCCTACAGACGCGAGACGGTGAGGATCCCTGAGAACACGAGGATCGACGCGAGGTACGCGCCGATTCGGTCCTGGTCGGGTACGGGCCGCCGCTGACGTGTCTGTGCTTCCAACCGGCCGCATACCGCGTTCCGACGCCTGTGGAGGTGCACACGCCCGGTGAGTTTCAGTCGTCTTGCGTTGAGAGTGTCCCGCTGACTCATGGGATTGACAGGCTCGCGCCGTGAGGTCGACATGGCCCCGGCGAGTCTTGACGGCGCGTACGAGTGTGGGGATGGAGTGGGCGAGAGCAGGAGGGGCGTATGGATCGTATAAGTATCGTAGCTATACCCAGTCGATAAAGATAGCAGAGCTCCGCGTGCGCGGTGTTTGCGATGCAGCGGGTTCACGAGAGCTCGAACGGCTCCTTCATTGCAGACTTCTGGTACCTGGCTCGTCAGCCTGTTGATATGCGTCGTGTAGCTTGCTAACATACCATAATCCAGATTGTCAGTGTGTATCTTGAAGAATGGCGGCCAATCAAAGGACCTCCAGGCCGGCTGGGAGTGTGCCGGGTGTCCGGACGTTGCCAGGGCAGATGAGAACTCCAAATCGTGCGGAGAAGTTCGCGTATCACCTCTCAATAGTTCGTACTATGCGTACGCGCCGAAATTGCGGCATCTGGCGGAGTTGGAGGGCGAGAGGAGGCAGGCGGAGGCGGGTCGTCGTTTAAGCGCCCGTGGACGCCGGAGGACGCGGACGAGATCGCGCGCGACGTCCTGGCTTGCGGCTCTTGCAGACACCCTCGTGCTAGTCGTAGGGTGCATTATAAAGAATCTTTGGTGCTACTGACCGAACGCAATGCGAATTAGTGCGCATACAAGTGCATGAAACGGGGAGGAGGGCCTACTGCGTGGGGATACTCGCCACCCGGCGGTCGGCGACGACTCGGGCTGTACATGCAAGTGCGCTGGGTGTCCTGTCTGCGTCGTCTCGCATAGCAGCGGTCCACGGCGGCGGCGCCGAGCGCAATCCGGCGTCGACGTCGTCCGGAGGCCCTAGATGCGCGGGTCGAACCGCTGCACTCGCGCCCCGACAGCGCCAGGCTCCGCGGCCGTTCCGCGACGTACGGGTGAGCACCCTGTGCGCCGTCGTGTCCCGCGCGACAGGCCTGCGTGTCCCGGGCTGAAAAATGCGTTTCTGGACTGGAGTTTCCGTCAGCAGCGATGGTGCAGATGCCCCCGTTGAGGCACTATCGGACCGAGGGCAGGTTGGTAGAGGGTGCCGTGCGAGGCCCAGGGCGGCGGAGGGACGAGGGCTTCTTGGGCGAGCATGGTGACGTCGATGGAGGCCGGTCGAGGGTGCTGCGAGACACAGAGCACGGCCGGGAGTGCCCCGGCTCGTTGGAGGTGCATATGGACGGTCCCAGTCGTCGAGCAAGGCCCTGTATGCCGTGCAGAGAGCGCAGGACAGCAGAGACGGCGTGTACGTAGATCGCGGACAGCCCGAGGCCCAGCAGCTTGAGCGCGTTCAGGCCGCCACTGAGCTTGAGCGAGTTGAGGGTGAACGAGCTGAATAGCCAGGCAATGATGTCATGTATACGCGAGAAATTTCCGTCTCCAAGGTCCGCGAGCTCCCCGTCGGCGGCGCGCGCAAGATGTCGGGGCGGCCTGGGTTGCTTCAGTCTCCGACCGGGGTCGACCATGACACGGTTCGGCGCGACAGTGGCGGAGAGAAACAGGCGATAAAGGCGGAGGTCCTCGAGTGCGTGTCCCTGGTCAGGGGCGTCGGTGCCGGGCTGCTGTGGGTCGGCGTAGCCCATATCAGACGTGGGATACGTAACGCGGGGCAGCGCCGATTCCGCGTCGACCATGCTGATCTATGCCATAATAGCATAAATGTCCGGGCAGGCGTCATTCACAACAGCTTCTCGAACCAATCATCTTCGGTCAGGTCCTCGGCACAATGCTTCGCCTATAACATAATGTGAATTTGTCGACGAGGACGGTGATCGTGATAGACGTGCCACATACCCAGTGAGCTAGCAGTGCAGCCATTCGATCCACGCTCTCCTTATCAACCCACCTCCTGTCACCGCTGCTCTGGATCACAACATCCTGTCGAGCCGACTCCCAGTACCGCCCACCGAGAAAGCTGGTGTCCAACTGGAGGAGCAGGAAGATCCAACTTGTTCTATTTGTCAAGGCTCCTCGGATACAGGTCGATCTATCGCGCGATGACTGTCCTGCACACGGCGGGAGAGCGCAAAGTAAGGAAACGCACTTCAGCCGTCTTGCACATGCTTGCATCTCGACCACTGCTTGAGGGACATGTGTGCCGAGCATGTGGGAGACCCCCTTCGCTTCTGCCACAAAAAGACCAGGCACCGCTTGAGCTTTGTGTCTCAAGGCAGATTGGAGATTTACTGCATCCAGCATTCTCGCTGTGGTGGCACACATGGTCAGCACCACGCGTATCTAGCGCTGTCGTGGGGCGGATACGTACGAGCGGCACGCTTGTCGACGAAGAAGAGAACGTAATGGACATGACCGCCGATTGCGATGGTTGGGGGTGTTGTCGTGATAACCTCTGGAGCAGCAACAACTTCGAGCCCGATGACGAGCTGCTTGTCAGTTTGGATCATTGCTGTGATTCGGAACAAGAAGCTCTCGATCCATAGGCGTGCGCTGGCATGATGCATGGTATGTTGCAAGAGGAAGTCTAGCTTAGTATGCAGGTTTTGAGCGGACATGAGGTGCTCGGCGCCAGCAGCGTTCTCCTGTGCGATCCTCTCTCGTATGGCAAACGTAGAGGGGTCCTTTGCAGAGAGATCACCGGCGCAGACGATGTCAGCCCGAGCTAGGATCTTGGTGTCGATCGAAGAGAAGCCCATGCCGTGGCTCACTGTGAGCTGACAGGTGAGAGACAGAAAGTGGGTGCTCGCCTTGGTCGCCGACAGTCTGCTCTCCATGAGCGAGAGGAAGGTGTCCACGGCGTCGAGATCGAACCCATCGTCCGTCGCTGCATCCGGGCTCGCGTCGGCCTCCTCGTCGAGTTTGGCCCTCCACTGGTTAACGAAATGCAGCGCGGTAGCTAGCTCCTGGCAGTCGAGACCGCGCATTGAGCGAGCGCGAGTGAGGAGGACTGAGGAGGGTCTGAGTGACGCGTGAGTGCGACGCGTGATGACGCGTCTGTGACATGCTGTGACCGACGCGTTAGGTTTCAGTCTGCGGCCACGCGCGTCTCTCTGTCTCCTCCCACCTCGACGCGTCCCCCGCCACTTGTCTGTCACCATGCTCGAAGCAAAACTGAACGAAGCCGCGCTCCTCAAGCGTCTCCTCGACGGTGAGTGCTCTTCTCTCCTGGCCGTGGGTGGAGCTGACTAGGGTGCAGCGGTGAAGGAGCTCGTGACGGACGCCAACTTTGACTGCAACGAAGAGGGCATCGTAAGTCCCTCTCCCGTCCTTTACATCCCTCTCTCCCCCGCAGAACGTCTGTGAACGATCCGCTTTGCCCCGCGTCCTGGCCGCCACCATGGGACGATCGCGTTCGACGCGCCAATGGCCAGTCCCCACCCTTGCACGTCCGCCGCCGCACACCCTCTCGACGTCTCGTTTGAGCGGCGCCGCGTAGGGGTGTCCCATCCGAGCAGGCTGTGGACGTGTACCAGTGGACAGAGGCCATAGCAGCAGGACCAAGTGCGTGGTGCGCCCACACTGCTTGGAGAAGAAGTGGTACCGCAGGCTCAGCCCCTCCCCGCGTAGTCCCGCCAGTCTCGGCTGTGTTGGCTGTGTTTGGGGCCTCGTAAGCTCTTAGCGAGTGGGGAAACACTTGGATTGTTAGTAGGCAACGAGTGGCGGATGTGCACGCGCTCCATCGCGTCGTGTGGCAGTAGAAAACACGGATCGTGACCAGGGCCACGTGAACGACCGGTTCTGAGGGACATGTTCCACCAACATGTCCCTCAGAACTACTCGCAGACTGCCGCGGCGTGCGCGTTAATGCTCTCTTACATGTACCGCCGCCGTCACCGCTCTCTCGCGGGCCATTCTTTCTGTCTGCATTCGGAGATAGCAGCGGCCGGGCCTGCAGTAACGGTGTCCCATCGCACGCGTTTCATCCCGCGGCATATGCCAGATCCCCCTCAATTCCATTTGGTGCCATGCTTTGCGTTTCATATCGCGGTCTGTAATGGTGGCGAAGCAGGCTGGGGCGGGCCGCTCGACCTGGCAAGTGCGTCGTGCACGTCGGACTGTCCCATTCCATGGACGAGTGGTTCTGCGGGACACGATAGAGGAACTTGCGCCGCACAACGGACCCGTACCACGCCTTCATCTACATTCACCCGCGATTCACGTACTGCGTCGATCATTCGTCAAGCGCGTCGTGTACATTCATTGTGCGCGCGCCGTCTCCGCTGGACACTTGGACCACACTCTTTGTTCGTGAGCTGACCACGCTATGACAGACACTCCAGGCGATGGACAACTCCCACGTCGCCCTCGTCGCCGTCAAGCTCAAGGCAGACGGCTTCCAAAAGTACCGCTGCGACCGCCCCATCCCGCTCGGCGTGAACGTCGGGTCGCTCACAAAGGTCCTCAAGTGCGCCAAGGACGACGACATCTGCACGCTCAAGGCCGCCGACGACGCCGACATCCTCTCCCTCACCTACCAAGCAAAGAGTGCGTCCGCGTCCTTTGACGGCGTGCGCGTGCACTGACTTTGCGTAGACGCGGACAGGATCGCGGAGTACGAGATGAAGCTGATGGACATCGACGCGGACACGCTCGGGATCCCGGACACCGAGTACGACGTGTCCGTGACGATGCCGTCGGGCGAGTTCGCGCGCATCGTGCGCGACCTGTCGCTCCTCGGCGAGTCCGTGCGCATCGAGGTGTCCAAGGAGGGCATCCGGTTCGTGTCCGACGGCGAGGCGGCGAACGGCAACATCCTCATGAAGCAGACTGCGGAGGCGCCGAAGAAGGGCAAGAAGGGCTCGAGCTCGAAGCGGAAGGGCAGCGACGACGAGGACGACGAGGACGAGGAGAAGCCGGACCCTGAAGACGAGGAGGGCGCGGCGGGGAGCGATGACGAGGTGTCGGACGGGGAGGGCGGCAAGAAGAAGGTTAAGAAGGAGAAGGTCAAGAAGGAGGAGAAAGACGGCGAGGACGTCGAGATGGCAAGCACCGCCGACGATGCGGACGAGGACGAGGACGCGGGCGAGTTCAAGCCGAGCAAGAAGGAGGCAGGGAGCGACGCCGAGGACGACGACGAGGACGAGGAGGGCGGGTCGAGCAAGAAGCGTAAGAAGGCGCCAGGCAAGAGCGGGAAGCCCGCGAAGAAGGCGAAGAAGGGCGAGGCGGACGCGGAGGACGAGGACGACGACTTCGAGGGCGTGCGGATCGAGATGAACCAGGCGGTGACGCTCACGTTCAGCCTGAAGTACCTCGTCAACTTCTCGAAGTCGTCCGCGCTCTCGAAGAAGGTGCAGCTCATGATGAGCAACGACGTGCCCCTCCTCGTACGTCGCGTTCTTTCTTCCTATTCCGCCCGTGCTCACGCGCGTGCTCCCAGGTGTCGTACGGGTTCAACCAGGGCCACATCCGCTACTACCTCGCGCCGAAGATCGGCGACGACTAGCGCGTGTGGCCGTGAAAATCGCGCGCATGTCTCGCATCTATACTCTCGTTGCATCTCTTTGTCGTCTAGTTGCCCCCCGCTGTGTAATATGTTCTCCACGCGACCGTGATCAATCTACCAGTCTCCTCCGTCCGCCGTACCCCCGCACGTCCCGCAGGCATCCTCAGCCTGTCCAGTGCGACATGCTGTGTCATGGGGGGCCACTACATAGCATTCCTTGTATACTTGTATATTCGTTTACGCGCAAACTGAGTGGGCGTGGACAGGCCGATCGAGGAACAAGGAACGCGTGCTCGCAGTCGGCGCGATCACGGGCGCCTGTCGGACGTCGCACGGGCGCGTCGCCGTCCTCGTTTCTTCGTCTTCACGCTCTGCCCTCCGTCCCCCCACGCGCCCCCCGGATGCCGCACCCCGACCCCGCTGTCCCTCTACACGCCTATCTCTGCTCATCTACGGGATACAACGCTGGCCACGACCACGCACGAACTGACACGCACGAGCGACACGAACCACGACACCGATGACTTCCCAGCCTGGTATGTGATGTTTCTTTCTTTGTGGGGAGTCGTGTCGGGGGCCGGGTGCTCTGTGGGATATGCGCTGCGGAATGGGTGGAGGGTGTCGATTTGCTGGAGTAGCGGGTGGGTGTGGCAGCGGGTATGGACACGCAAATGGTAAACTGCTCGGGGTGAAGCGCGTTCAAGTGCGGCGCCGTGTCGCACGAAGAGGACGATGTGGCCAGCGCTGGGTTTTGTACACCATAAAACAGCGGCCACTCGTTCTGTCTGCAGAACATGCTCCCTAGACGACCTGCGCAGAACAACCCCGTCACAGCACACGCCGTTCTCTTCCCTCATAGATCCCATCCGTTGCTGACCTTTATGCCCCGCCGTCTAGATCCAGCAGAAAACTGGGACGAGGACTTCGAGATCGCTCAGAGCCAAAGCCAAGCGTCGGGCTCCCACTCTCCCCCACGCCCTTCCTCCACCCGCCAGCCCACATCACCAGGTTCCCCCACCTCCCCCTCCCGCAGACGACGCTCAACCGCAACAGGCGGCCCGCCATCCGCGCCGTCCACTCCGCTCTCCAAAGACAAGAAAAACACAGTACCACTCAGACAGTGGGCCGAGCCCGGGCCCTCCACCCCGTCCAAGGCCGCGCCAGCACCCCCGCAGCTGCAGATGGAGAACTGGGACGACGATTTCCAGGACACCGACTCGCCCGGACCTGCAGCACGACGCCGGAACACGGCCGCGACGCACCCGCTCGAGGCCCCAACCGAGCGCCCCGGGGAGGTCGAGAACTGGGACGACGACTTCGAAGACGGCGGTGGCGGCGGCGGCGGTAGCGAGGGCGCACGGACAGCGGGGGGTGCGTCGCCAGGGCGCAGGCGGACCCCGCGCAAGCGCGGCTCCTGGCCGTCCTCGGACGAGGAAGACGACGACGACGGCGAGTACGGGTTCGGGGATGGGGAAGACCGGACCGTGACCTCGCGCACGCGCGGCGCGGGCATGGGCATGCACATCCCGTTCCAGCTGCCCGTCGACCACCCGCCGATGCCTCCCCTGCCGCCGATGCCGTCGCCGTTCCCGCGCTCGCCCACCGCCTCTGTCTTCTCCGTCCCCGTCTCGTCCACGACCGGCCGCGAGTCCGTCACGGGGTACTCGTACTCGTCGACCGCGCACCTTGCGCTCCGGCCCACGCTCTCGGGAGGGTCCGCTGCGAGACTCGCGCTCCTGCCGCCCAGCCCGCCGATCCATCGCGAGCGGAGACGGTTGCGGAAGAAGTCGCGGCCCCCGCCGAACTTCGAGGACGGCATCTTCGAGCTGGACGACCGCGCGGAGATCGTCGACCCGCCCATGGCGCGTCCGGTGACGCCTGAACAGAAGAAACCAAGCCCCGGCGCAGACGAGCCCTCCGCATACGACGCTGCCAACACAACCGCCCCAGCCTCTTCCGGCAAGACGCCCCTCCTCTCTCGCATCGGCTCCGTCGGCAAGAAGTGGAACGCAGGGCGCAAGAAGCGCGTGAGCACGGGCCCGACCGAGGTCGCGCTCCACGAAGCGACCGCGCAAGCGGAGAGCGGCGGGAGCTCGCGCCCGACGAGCTTCATCGCCTCGACGTCCCCCGGCTCCGCAGGCGGGCGCAACTGGTTTTTTCGCGCTGGTGGCGGCGGTCACGGCCCCCAGGGGTCGCCACCGAGGCGCGAGGGAGCCCTAAAGAGCGAGAAGAGCGTCGAGCGCCTGCTGCACCTCATGCGCGCCGAGCAGCGCGGGCGTGAGCCCGACACGCCTTTATCCCGCGAGAAGAAAGGCAAGGAGCGGCGGCACGCGCGCGAGAGCACCGCGGGTTCGTCCGCGCTCCCGCAGGACCTCGACGAGCCGATGGACGGCAGTGGGGTGCCCACCGCGACGCTGCTGTTCGGGATCCCGCGCCGGCCGACGTCCATGCAGATCTCGCAGTCGTCCTCCGGCGGCTCGGGCTCAAGCTGGGCGAGTTCCCATCCGCCCGTCCCGCGGCACGCGTCGTACGGCGACGGGCGACACCGGCGCCCGGTGACCCCTAGCAGTCGCGCGAGCTCGAAGCAGCGGTCCGCCAGTGCGAGCGTCGAGGATGTGCATCATCGCAGCAAGAAGAGCTCGACGGCGACTCGGGAGACCATGGACGACCGCTCGAGCGACGCACACAGCTCGGCCGCCCATCACGAGCGGCCGCCGCTGCCTATACCGCCGTCAGAGCCGCCCGGGGATAAAGACAAAGAAAAAGAGAAGGAGAAGGGCAGCAGGCGGTTCATGGGCGGGATGCGGCGGATCAGCCTGGTGGGCAGCGGGAAGCACAAACGCACGAAGAGCACCGCGGCGGAGGACGTCAAGGAGCCCCCGCCAGAGAAGACGTCGCCGCCGCGTTCGAAGCTGAACATGGAGACGCTGTACGACCAGAGCACGCCGCGCCCGCCGTCGCGCGTCATCCGGAGCTCGCAGGACGTGCTGCTCCCTCCGATTGAGCTGCAGCCGCCGTCGCCGCCGCGCGCGAAGCGGGGGACGAAGACGCCGCCGTCTGGTGCGACGCCGACACGACGCTCACTGACCGGTGGCCGACCGACCCTTGAACCGTCGCGCTCGCACCCGACGCTCTCTCCGCGGTCGTCGCTCAGTCAGACATCTTCCCACGAAACCTCCCTCCCCACCATCCCGTCTCCCCTTCCATCCCCGACGCGACCAAAGCCGTCGACGTCCCCGGTGCAGACCGCGTCGCTCGGCCGGACAGCACTCCCTCCAAAGGAGCGCGAGACCCCGATCAACTCGTCAGTTCTACGGCGCAACTCGCTGGGCGATCTCAAGATTCCAGCCCGGATCAGCCAGGCGCAAGTGAGCTTGCGGCGGGATCTGACCATGGTGCGCGACTTTGCGTCGAGCGTGGAGCGTAAGTCATCCAGATCCTTCACGATGAGTGTATACAGCTAACGCGCTTTCTGCAGAGCTCAAGCAGCTTCAGTCGACGTATAGCGCCCTTGTCGTCCAGGTCCGCGAGCTGCTCAGCGACTCGCAGGAGTCGCAGTCGCGGCCCGTGTCCCCCAATTTCATTCACCTTCCTCGGCCTGTCCTGCGGACCCGCTCGAACACCAATCCTGCTGCGAACAACGCCCCGAACCGCAACCAACTCAACGCCGCGTTCCTGAACATCGAGGCCAAGTACCGTCTCTCGTGGGAGTGCGCCGAGCTCCTCGTCGACCTCGCCGGCGGTGCCCCAAACCCATCTGCTTCGCCTCCACCATCATCGAGCCAGTCCGCGCCTGTCGTCCCGACCTCCATCGACGGCAGGAAGAGCCGCGAGCGCGCCATCACCCTCGCCGGCGACGAACAGAAACCGGTCATCACCCCTGCGCCGCACGGCGCGACCTCTCCCCCTCTCGCGAGCCCACCTTCGCAGTGGCGTGCGTCAACAGGACGACACGATCTCAGCCAGCGACAGCTTCTCCTCCTGCGGGAGATGCTCAACAACCCGGACCCGTCGGCGACGATGTCGTTCGAGCCGGGCATCCCCGAGGAGGACATCAACCGCAACTGGCGTTGGGGCGACGCGATGAACAGCACGGTTACGCTACCGAGCGAGGAGTCCGGCGGGCATCAATACGGGACGGTACCTTCACCGACGAAGAAGCGGCGCACAAGCCGGCTCGGTATGCGCGGCCTGCGCGACATGCTCAAGTCGCTGAAGAAGTCATACTCCGAGACGGGCCAGAGCCCTGTGTTGCCACGCGTGCCCGCGTCGACCTCGTCGGTGTCAGCGAGTACAGACTCCTCGCTGAACCTGAACTCCCGCCCACAGTCCGTTGCCCAGCGCCGCCGTGCGAAGACTAGTACGGGTCCGGAGTCGATCGCGTCGCGGCGGGACATACATCCCAACTCCCCGTACGGCACGACGCCCTCCTTGCCGCACAAGTCCTCTCCGCGCCGCCCCTCGCTCGCCTCCATCTTCCGCATCGGTCAGAAGAGCAAGCCGTCTGCGTCCGCAGCCGGCGCAGGCCCCTCCGTCGACGACCTCAGTTCGAACGCGGCGGGCCTCACGAGCAGCGACTCGGGTCTAGCGAGCGGCACGAGCCTCGGCGACGACCTCGAAGAGGATTGGGACCGCGTCGAGTCTGTCTCCGACCTCGACCACGCCGCTCGTTCGCTCGGAATCCCGATATCTTCAGATGGAACGGCGACCGTGCGCGGCAAGAAAGGCAAGTCCCCGTACCTCTTCCACCGCGACCTCCGCCCCGAAACCCCGCGCCGCGGCCCCGACGCGTCGGGCTCGTCCATCTGGAGTCCGGGCTCGGAGTCCCCCAAGAAACTGTCCGCGATACCCCCTTCCACCCTCCAGTCCTACCAGCGCTCCATCAAACTCTCCGACGTGCGCGAGTCCGGCGAGGAGGGTGGCGGCCACTCCGCGCGCGCGCTCTCGCGCAGCAAGCACCGCCAATCTGCGCCGAGCCCAAGCCCGCGCCGCCCGCCCTCGCGTAACCGCAAGAACCCCACCGGCTCCGTGCGCTCCGCGCCGCCGCAGCCCTGGGGCACGCCGAGCCCAGACCTCGCGCCGGGCGCGCTGCCCGACGTCAAGCTCGCGATGGCCCCCGAGAACATCAAGCCTCTGCTCGAGAATGCGCGCGAGGTGCACCTGCGCTGCGCGGACTGCATCGCGGAACTCGAGGCGCTGCTCGCGAGCGGCGTCCAGCCTCCCGCGCACGCACAGGGGCAGTAGGTCCCTCTAATCGTGTGCGCATACCAAGTACTATTACGACCCGTTTACGCTGCTACATTATCATTTTTGTGCGCTGCTTTCGTATACGCTATCACGTTCTGCCATGTATCTAACGTCGCTTCCGTCACGTAAATGATCACGAAATGCATCCAATCTTGCTGCGTGCGGCTGAGTCCTGGCGATGTGCGGCAGGTAGTCCAGATTACAGTGACCGATACGAGTATATACGAGTCTAGTAGGAGTAAGAGTCGGAATAGGAATCCGACTCTTACTATTCTGCGGCCAAAGTAGTAAGAGTCAGCGAAAGTAGTAAGAGTCCGTCAAAGTAGTAAGAGTCACGCAACGCGACAGGGAGTGTGACATAACGGTGATGCATTGTGACCTACCGCAGTCTCGCGATACACTGCAGCGCGCCGCGCCCTAGCGCGCCCTCAGGAACGCGCCTCCGAGGACGCGTCGGGAGACGCGTCCGCGATCGCGTTGTCCACGTCACCCGACACTGGCTAATATGTTTGGAACGGCCGCGTTCTGTGCCCTCACGATGACTGCCAAGGAAATTGACCGTCAAGGTCAAGTCCGACTCGTCTTTCACGCCGTCCACCTCCATCAGCGAACCGGGAAGTACTGTAGAGATCAGACGTTAGCGGCGGCAGGTTTGGGTGTGACCAGTCGGAGACGATGCGGCGGAGCGGCGGGGTCCACGGTGACCTGTGACCGCGCCCTCCGGAGCGGCGATTGTGACTTAGGGTTAGGGAGGGGAGCACACCGAGCGAAGCGAGGTGTGCGACGACGACGACGAGTGGGGAGGCGAATAGGACAACAGGGGATGGAGATCACTCCAACCCATCCTGTTTCGACTCTTATACAGTCTCATCAGGTCCTGCTTAGTTCTTTCGATAAGGTTCAGCCACAAGGTCCCGGAACTACGGGATAGATCCTTGTGTGATTGTTGCTGACACACGGCCGCCGGGGGCACACTTAGGGTTATGAGCGCCCGGTGGGCGACCGCAGGGTCAGAATAACCCCTACACCCTAACCCTACGTGCGTGCCTACTAGGGTTACAACAGGTGCCGTGTGCCCATATATGGCAATTTGGACATCCAGGCAGTGCTCGCACGCCGCGCCGCGCCGCGCGTGTGCGGCACACACCACGCCGCGCACCACCTTCTCGTGCCCGGGGGGGGGCGGCCCCCGCAGGTGCTCAGTGCTCCCGCGTGTGCAGCACACACTGCGCGGCGCTGCAACGCTGCGCCCCATAGGCATGCCGCCTGAGGGAGGTGCCCCACGCGGTCGGGTGTGCAGCACACACGCTGGGGGCCTGGCCCGCCTCCCATCCTAGCAAATGGCCAAGGGGTCATCCCGCACCGGGCTCAAGCGCATGGATTCGGCTTGCGTGCCATGAGGTAGTGTGGGTGCAGCACATTCCGGGGCAGCCTACATCGGCCCGCATGCACGCAGCCGTGTGGGCGAAGGTGCCGCAGGCAGCCAGGTGTGCAACACACATTCAGCCGGCTCTTGCCATACGTGCGTAACCTGCTAAGTCAGGACCATTAATCATCACTCAGGCAATCGCGGTTTAAGGGTTAATCCATGGCATCAATGGCATTCTAACTCAGGGTTACATTGTTGCAATACATAGCTAAATGATAACCTCGTCTTCGCAGCTGGGGCATCTATAGTAAGTGCAGTCGTTTTCCGGGTCCCCGATGAGTGAGTAAAGGACGGTGGTCATCTCGGCGGAACGATGAACAAGGCCTGGGGCAAGGTTTAGGTGCTCGAGCACGTAGTTGTGGACGTCCGCAGGGCAGCCAGTGGTGACGTAGGTCTTGCGCATCTGGAGGAGCAGGCGCTCGAACGACAACGGATAGTCGTACTCGGGGTAGCCGCGCTGAATGGGCATCTTGAGGAGCTTCTGCCAGAGATTGAAGTTGTGGTAGTCGTAACGGATGCGACCCGCCGCGAACTTGCTCTCGATTACCTCCTGGGTGTCATGCCGCTCCTTGCGGTCAGGAGAGGGTATCAGAACGGTCGGGCCCTGTGCCTCCACCTCGTCCAGGCAGTCGATGTGGTACCAGGTGTGACAGAACGTGCACCATCGGAGAATATGGGTATCAGGGTGATAATGGCCGTCGTGCTCGCAGTGAAAGAGCCGGCAGATCCTGTCCCAGGAGTCCTGGGAAGCAAAGATTAGGACGGTAGAAGGTGCAATATGGAGGGCAAAGAGAGCGTACTAGGAGGGGAGAAAACTTCTCCCTTCCAAACGGCAAGAACAGCGCGAGGTCCTTGCGGGAGTAGCGTGTGTCCTCACCAAGGACATGCAGGGAAACAGTCTGGGAGGAGAACTCTTCGACGTCTAACACGCTGCTCACACTGTTGGCCAGCTCGAACGTGTCCCCTCTGTAGATGAGGTGTTCTTTCGCTCCCATGATGTCGCAGATGCCGCGGGCCGGGTCGTCGAGGGGCATCACCGTCAGCTCATCTTTGATGTAAGTCCAACGCAGTTTGACGAGCTGCACAAACATCCACGTCAGAAATGAGGTCGGTTATCTAATGCAAGCAAATAAACATACATAGCCGAGCCGACGGTGGTAGGCTAGGTTAACGACCTTGGCGCACAGTTCGTTGTGGCCGTGAAAGGCGTCATAAACAGGGGCAAAAAAAGTCTCCCCTAGGGTTAGTCCTAGCCATTAGGCGCCAGGGCTACTGAAGCGCCCGCCTAGGCGCCGACTGGCACAGCATTTGGGCAACATTCCGCACACCTCTCTGCATCCCCTAGGCATAGTACGCAGCGCAACCCAGCATGTTTGTTGTATTTAAGACAATATAAACAGGCGCAAAAAAAGTCTCCGCTAGGGTTAGCCCTAGCCTATCTCTATAAAACCCCCTTTTGAGCTCAGAAGGGAGATACAAACTGGATACAAGGTCAGTGTTAGGGCTCTACCGCCGCAACGACCTGGACAACAGGCTTGTATCCGGGGGTTTTCTGGTAGCCTAGAAGCATGGCTACACGATGCAGGTGGTTTCAGGGTGGTAGCTATCCTGTACGGCCCACAATCACATGAATACAAGCGGATACAAGGGTATTGGCTGGATACAAGGTTGAATACAAGCTTGTATCTCCTCAACGAGCCTGGATACAAGGGTATATCTTGGTGTTTTCCGATAGCCCTGATCGAGGGCTACCCGAATCTGATGCGATTGTGGCTGTGCACCTTCGAAAAAATGATGCTCTGGCCAGTGCCTCCTGGTGCAAGGGCCATGGACACCCAACCACCTGACCTCTTATCTGGATACAAGGGACCTTATTATAGCCTATAATCAGGGCTACAATGCGCATTTTAGTTCGCATCAATAGCTGCCCTGGTTGTAGAGATATGGCCTGGGCAGCAGTGGATACAAGCTGGATATGGGACTACTGCAAGTCTGATATCTCCGCAGCCCCCTTGACAACTGGCTTGTATCCGGGGTCGTTTCTGTAGCCATGAACGATGGCTACAAGACGCAATTTAGTGCGTGGGAATATCTGCGCTAGTGGCGGAGATATGGCCTTGTATCTGCTGGATACAAGATCTGGATACAAGATCAGTGTATGGTCGATATCTCCGCAACTCCCTTGACAACCGGCTTGTATCCGGGGGTTTTCCGATAGCCCTGAGCAGTGGCTACAACATGCAATTTAGTTGGTGTGAATATCTGTCCTGGTTGCGGAGATATCGCCTTGTATTCACTGGATACAAGCTGGATACAAGGTGAATACAAGGTCATATCTCGCCCATTACTGGAGCGATTGTCATGGTACAAGGGACAATGTTGTAGCCTGTGACAAAGGCTATCACACGCAGCTTACCGCATGTTTGTATCTATTTTTCCGACGGAGATATTCACATTTTATCGCTGACAGCAGGGGTAAAGGGCAGGGAAAAGGTCATATATGTACAACCTCATGGTCAATCATCTGGATACAAGGGGCGATATTGGAGCCCTTGAGTGCCGCTATAAGACGCAGTTTCATTCATGTCAATAGCTTCCCTGGTCGTCGAGATATGCCCTTGTATCTGCTGGATACAAGGTCTGGATACAAGCTGAATACAAGATTAGTGCAAGGGCAATATCTCCGCAACCGCTTGGGCAACGACCTTGTATCCGAGCGCGTTCTGATAGCCAGGACTGAGGGCTACAAAGTGCAAGTTGTTTCATGTTGATAGCTACGCTGGTTGCATGGATAATGGCTTGTATTCACTAGATACAAGGGTATTGAACTCTGACTGATGGACCTACCCTTATAATGGCAGTGCCATTAAAATGCCACTATATGAGTGAGTGCACACAAGTGCACAGTGAGTGCGCCCTTATAACGGCAGTGCCATTAAAATGCCACTGTATGGGTGGGTGCGCACAAGCATGTGTATGGGTGACTGCACCCTTATAATGGCACTGCCATTAAAATGCCACTATATGGGGTTAGGGTTAGGGAGGAGGAGCACAACGAGCGAAGCGAGTTGTGCGACGACGACGACGAGTGGGGAGTCGAACTAGGACAACAGGGGATGGAGAAAACTCCAACCCATCCTGTTTCGACTTTTAACAGTCTCATCAGGTCCTGTATAGTTCATCCGATAAGGTTTTTCCCGGCATCGCGGCCGGAACTACGGCCTGCGCGATGCGTAATATTGCTTACATGGGATATCCAATCGCGGATACGCGATTGGCTGCTATTGTTCGAGCTGTTCTAACAATAGTATCTGATTACTGATGCTGTTCCCGTCATCGGCGCACAGCTCCCGTGCTGTGACTAATGCTGATGATCTGCCATGAATGATGTCATGGTCTAGGCTGCGCATGACGCGACGGTCTGGGCTATGACATCACCTAATCGATCGGAGATCTCCTATGATGTAACATCACGTGATATGCCAAATTTAACCCTGTTTTCCTAAGGCCCCTCAGGGTTAGGGGAGGGTTCTGGTGAAGGTTTGTGTAGATATGGTA